TTGTTGCTCCAACTTTTCCTTGTGTTTGACAAGCTCATCAATTTGAGCTTTGTATTGCATCTTGATTAATTGCAACATAGCTTCCATTGATGTTTTCACCAGATTTATTGCTCTCTCAGCCTGCATTAGTGATTTTTGGTTTGTAATTTAATATATACAGTAGAATACCACAAGTTACCATGGTGGTAATGGATGGTATGTCCATTATACAGTACAATACCATATGTTACCACCATGGTTCATGTGTGGTATTAGTTATATGAATTGCACAATTGTAACATAGGGTAATTTATACTTATTTGGGGGATAGTCTTGATCATCTTCAAATCAAATATGAGTGATGTTGATGGTTGTTGGTCTGTGTTGTTGTCGTCATCATCATCACTGTTGGTGCCACCGATCTTGTCTTCTTTATCATGTATCTTCATTAGCACATTAAGTACTTCTCCACTGTAGTAGCTAATTATGTTTTCATAGTTTCTTTGCACAACAAGGTCATCGTAATAGCTTGTTGGGATTTGAAACTGGGTGGAGAAGGCAATTTCATCCAACTTGTGCATGAAGCATACCTTTTATTTGTTTTTGGAAAGGAGAACTAGTTTTATTAGTTTTGACGTACTAGGATTGGTAAGGCTTTAGAGTATACTAATCAAAATGAAATTACTGAGGGTATAGATACTTACTGTTAAGAAATGAAGATCTGCAGTAACGTACAACTTTCTTGATTTCAACCCCTCATTCATATAGTCGAAGAAGAACTTGCACCAATTATATTCTTTGAAATGCTTGATTTTGTTTGGCTACAAGTACTCAAGCATATTCAACTCAGTAGTAGGGTTTGAAAATGGGGACAGTAAACCTCCAGTAACCATTGTGCAAGAACAAAAATCTAGTGGTGAAAATGATTTTGCATTTTGTGAAGTCTGTACTTGAAATTAGACATTCAGAATCATGAATCTAGTTTTTGAAGAAAGAAGTGATGATTTACCTTGATCGTTGAAGACGTCGAAGTTGGAAACCCTAACTTTGTCGCTGAAGACGTTGAAGTTGGAAACCCTCACTTGATCGTTGAAGAACTAAGATCGGTATCCTTTGATAACGTTCTGAAAATTCGAGTTTGTAGTTTCTCGTCAGTATTCTTTGTGAGAGGAAATAAAATGCGAGAGAGAGAGAGAGAGAGAGAGAGAGAGAGAATGGATAGCGTAAATGCGGAGCAAAAAACCAGAGATAGAACGCGAACCGTCTGTGGTGTTTTTGTTTTTGCAGAGTTGGTGATAATGATGGCGGGGAAGGGTCGCGTTTTCTTTTTTCAAATTGTCAGAAGGATTGTCAGATTGCTATATTACCCCTACGTGTATTTAATATCCCACATCTTACTGTCATCAATAAATTGCAATGGACAGCAAATCTCTTGGTTACTTACAGTTACTCACATGATGATTACTGATGGGATCTGAACCCCAAATGATCTGCAGCAAGTTATTACTAACAACTATAGTATTAAGCTTTGTGTCATGATTCCATCTCGAACAACCTGCACTTCGTATTTACCATGAACAACCACAATAAAAATCATCAATATTTAATTAGGAGCACTAACAAATTCAAGTCAACAAGAGTGGCGGACAAAAGGCCAAAATTTCCATGTCCAAATGCATTGCAACATTAATCTTTAACCCTGTTATGGCACATCGCACAAGTAGAAGCAATTCCTCCCTATTGACCTAAACATTGATCAGCAAGAGTCAGAAAACGATCCTAGCAATCTTGAATTCGGGTCACATAGATAACAAAAGGAACATAAGAAAGAGTTGTTGGAAATTTGGTTGAATCGGACTAATCAAGTCAAATTGGTTTTGGGTTGGACCGACCAACCGATTTCGGATTAGACAGACCGAACCAATATTCTAATTTCATGAAGGGACACATCCCTTTGGTCTAGTGGCGGTTTCATTATTTTATGGATAAGGATGGCCTTATGGATATGAACAACCTTATGGATAGAGGCAGCCCTTCACATGAATAAGGATAACTTTTCATATGGATAAAGGCAACCTTTCGTATGGATAAATGCAATTGTTCATGAAACAATGCATGGATCGGCCCCTATAAATATATGTGTGGGGTGGATGGTGCCACATACCATAAAACATATTCTTCTTCTTTCTTCCAAAAATGTCTTAGTATGCTTTAGTGTTCTTGAGCCTAGAACCTAAAGTGGTGATAGTTTTATCCTCGGGAGAAATTTCCCGTAACCCAAGGCTTTTTAGAGGGTGGAAATATTCTTTTCGAAAAGTGAACGTAGTTCACGACTCTATCATAATCCTGGTCACCCGGTCTCGGGCTATCGTACGTAGACCCTCATGACAAAAGCCCCAACAATCATAAAGAATATTTTTCGGTACGATGGTTCGAACCGCTCTTTACAAGAAACCGGTTCCAGTCTATGGAGTTATGAGAATGTTCGATGATGAGTTTTTCATCGATGGCAGTAGAATATGGGCTTTCTTCTTACTAGTCTCATGGTGATTCCATACACGGAAGGTAAATTGGAAGAGGGATCATTCGAAGACGATGAAGAAGGAGAATGATTCGTAAAATGGAGAAATAGAAGAATGAAAATTGCCTTTGGGTATGTCACATACTCAATGGCTAATTTGTCTAATTCTCTATTTGACATTTATGAAGTCCTAGACAAATTTGGATTTGTATAGTGGTTTGATGGTGTGATTTTGTCTTAAGTGGTTTATGTTAAACCAAAGTGACAAAATGTATACACAAGTTATGATGCTTCTGGTAATGGAGTCATCATACATTTATTTGTATGTATATGACATGCTTATCTTTGGTACCAATAAAAGATAAGTGAACTTTGAAATAAAAAGTTGTTATTTAAATTCTCCATGTAGGACATGGGGGAGGACAATGTGATTTTGTGTATTGAATCAAGCGTACGACAAATAAGATTCCTTCTCTCAATTTTTCTGCATGAGAAGGTACTTGCAAAAATTCCATAGTAGGAATTGTCGTGAGTAAAAAACCCAAATGGATCCAAGTATGGAACTTATGGTTAATACTAGCTATCAGTCTTACAACTAGAGTAATCCATGTTAATTGGGTGGTTGATGTATGCAATGACTTGCATAAAACCATATATTGCGTATGGGGTAGGACCATTAAGTTGGTGTATGAGTAATCCTAAGTGCTCATCATTTGGCATGAAATGAGGCGTGGACTAGGATATCTCAAAGACACATTGTATTGACATATAGTGGGTTTCCATAAATTTTTGAAGGATTTGTTGATGTTAGTTGGATTTCTCATGTTCAAGGTGATTGAAACACCCTAACCCAGCCGGGTACTACTTTTACTAAAATTCCCTTGACAAATAAAATACTCAAATCTTAAATTGCAGCGGGAAAAATTTTCATTAATAAAAAACTGAAAACACACTTGAAGTTCAAAGAAAAGCCCTAACACGTGGGCAAATTAAACTCAAACTGTAAAATCTCAATCTAATCTCAAAATAATCTCCAGTCTGTACTCATAATCATAAATGTAATTAACTAATAATCTCTGAAGTTGTTGCTACTGAAAACCTTGACTAAGCATCCTCCGTGACGCTTATACTGCTTCCTCTAGCTGGCTGCCCTCGAACTCGCTGCTCACTAATTGCTCCTCTAGCTCATCAAACTGGTGAGTGAGATGGGGTCAGTCTACGCCCTAACGTTTAAATACTTAATGATACTTGATCACTTTACTTAACTGAGTGGGAGTTGTTTTGTACTTCCACTACTAAAAAGCTTAACTCTTAAAACTGTATGGGAGTAACTCTTACTCTCCACTCTTAAAGCTTAAAACTCAACTTAAATACTTGACTGACACTGGGATCCCTCACTAGCTAGTCCGGTTGCCAACTCATACGTATGAGAAGCCATCCAGGCTTTCCTTAAACTTAAACTTAGCTAGGAAAGTCGTAACGATTCATCCCCCTAACATCTTAAACTTATCGTGGTGGCTCTTCACCATGATTCTCAAGGGCATAACTGCTGCCCATCTTAAAAGTCTCAAGAGCATAGCTGCTGCTCTGTCTTAAAGATCTCAAGATCATAACTGCTGCTCTATCTGAAAATCTCAAATGGCAACGGACTGGCGCTAGTGACTAAAAACACTTAAAACGACTTCACCTCCTTGAAGGTGAGTTACTTCTTAAAAAGGACTTGCTTCTTAACTTCAACAATAACTTATAAACTTAAAGCTTAAATTTAAATAAAACTCATGCACAGTCACATCAAGCATAGCTCAAACAAAATCGCATATCATCACCCATAAGCACAATCAAGCAACAACAATCACTTCATCAAATACTTAAAGCTCGTACTAATTGAAATAACACGTAAGGCGTAGAATTTACCCCCTTTACACTCACCTCTAATCCGTCGAAACTAACTCTGAATCTGCTCCAAAATTTCCATACTTGCTCCAATTAAATTCTCCTCGTTCTCATGATTCCATAGGCGCTGACGATTCCTTGTTCGGACGTTAATTGATCGAGTTATGACCAAAATAAATATTCTATTAGCTTAAAAGTTCCAGGTACCGAAATTTCAATTTTTCCAGTCAACATAGTTGATTCGGACTTCTGAGGAAAATTACGATTGTGGAATGATTCGGTTAACCGAACTGTCGGCCTCCTTATCGACCACCGACCGAAATAGGAATTTAGCCTTCGATTACCTCGGTTAACCGATCCACCTCCAAGCCAAAAATCATATCGTCCAGCCTCCAAAAACGATCGAATTTTGATTATCTCGATTATCGATTTAACCCGTATCGATAACCAAAATTCCACCCCCTAATTTTTTAATACCCAACTTTTACCAAAACTTTATTTTTTAAATGGTACGTTTTTGCCATCGCCAATATACCAAGCACGGCCGGTTGTCAAACTTGCCCATCACGGCATTATAAATCTGCCAGACCGGGTGACGTGACGCCGACTAGGATAGGATCCCAATTAAATTAAGAGAAACGAGAAAAATTAGGCTCTGACGGGAACTAATCTGGACCGTTTGAGATAGATCAATCCAACGGCTGTAACAGAAACCCTAATTCAACCCAAGGCTTTAGGTCTCGACACCGAGACTACTTAACCCGAGGAAAGGCTCCCTTCACCGTCCTCTTTCGCTTGCTCTTTCACTCTCTGCTCTTTGATACTGCAACTGCGGGAGAGCACACCTCACTCCAACACAGCCCGTCGTTGTTACAGGTTCGCTTCCTTTAGCTCCACTTTGTTTTTCTTATTGCCGTTCTTTATGTGTTAATTCTGTTAGCTGGTAGATTCGTCTATATTTCCCTGTTCCCAATCGTTTTCGTTCGTGAACTATCTCGTTATGTGGATCTAGGCGATGGATTTAGGTTTTCGATCTGTTTGTTTGTGCTACTCTTGCAGCTGCTCTTATCTCGATTCGTTGTCAATTTTTGTTTAGGGTTCCGATGTTTATTTTTTGTTAACGAAGCTATGATTTCTGTTTTATACATAATAATAAAGTTACGCATCGGTGTGCTTGAATCTATGTCTTACGCATCTTTGGTAGTGGTAGTGAAAGAGATGCGTGGATTAGATCTGCACACGGTTTTCTGAGTCTATTCAGTGGCTGTAGTTTATTGGTAAATCCCACACTTCGCTGTGGAGACCTGGGCTCGAATCCCAGCAGCCACTTCATGCATTTGAATCTCTGTGGATGGTTTGAATCTACTTTCAACCATGGTAAAATGCTATTTTGGATTTTGGTACCTTTAAGCGAGTATCTCCACTTTGTAGAATCTATAGCAAGCAGATCATTTGCCACTGTCCAAGTTTCAGTATGGGTCTATAATCATCTACTGTGTGGTCTAATCTGTTTCTGCTTTTGATTGGTTTCAGCTTCTTTACCATACTTCAACATGGGTAAGGAAAAGGTGCACATCAACATCGTGGTCATTGGCCATGTTGACTCTGGGAAGTCAACCACCACTGGTCACTTGATCTACAAGCTTGGAGGTATTGACAAGCGTGTGATTGAGAGGTTCGAGAAGGAAGCTGCCGAGATGAACAAAAGGTCATTCAAGTATGCCTGGGTACTTGACAAGCTCAAGGCTGAGCGTGAGCGTGGTATCACCATTGATATTGCTCTCTGGAAATTTGAGACCACCAAGTACTACTGCACGGTCATTGATGCCCCTGGACATCGTGATTTCATTAAGAACATGATTACTGGTACCTCCCAGGCTGATTGTGCTGTCCTCATCATCGACTCCACCACTGGTGGTTTTGAAGCTGGTATCTCTAAGGATGGCCAGACCCGTGAGCATGCTCTTCTTGCTTTCACCCTTGGTGTCAAGCAAATGATTTGCTGCTGCAACAAGGTAACAAATTAATTAGCTGTTGAGATATTAAATAGATTTGTCAATTATGGCTGAATGCTTATGGATGCTTTCTCTTTTGTAGATGGATGCCACTACCCCGAAGTACTCGAAGGCTAGGTATGATGAAATTGTAAAGGAAGTTTCTTCTTACTTGAAGAAGGTTGGGTACAACCCTGACAAGGTCCCATTCGTTCCAATCTCTGGTTTTGAGGGTGACAACATGATTGAGAGGTCCACCAACCTTGACTGGTACAAGGGCCCTACTCTTCTTGACGCCCTTGACAACATCAACGAGCCCAAGAGGCCATCAGACAAGCCCCTCCGTCTCCCACTTCAGGATGTGTACAAGATTGGTGGTATTGGAACTGTGCCAGTGGGCAGGGTTGAGACTGGTGTGATCAAGCCAGGTATGGTTGTAACCTTTGGTCCTACTGGTCTGACCACTGAGGTAAAGTCTGTAGAGATGCACCATGAAGCTCTCCAGGAGGCTCTGCCCGGTGACAATGTTGGGTTCAACGTGAAGAATGTTGCTGTGAAGGATCTCAAGCGTGGTTTTGTTGCATCCAACTCCAAAGATGACCCAGCCAAGGAGGCTGCCAACTTCACATCCCAGGTCATCATCATGAACCACCCGGGGCAGATTGGAAACGGTTATGCCCCAGTGCTGGATTGCCACACCTCCCACATTGCTGTCAAGTTCTCTGAAATCATGACCAAGATTGACAGGCGATCTGGCAAGGAGCTTGAGAAGGAGCCCAAGTTTTTGAAGAATGGTGATGCTGGGTTCGTGAAGATGATTCCCACCAAGCCCATGGTTGTGGAGACATTCTCTGAGTACCCGCCTCTTGGAAGGTTTGCCGTGAGAGACATGAGGCAGACTGTTGCTGTTGGTGTGATCAAGGCTGTGGAGAAGAAGGACCCAACTGGCGCCAAGGTCACCAAGGCTGCTGCTAAGAAGAAGTGAGATGTTTTGTGAGTTGCAGAGTACTCTCTGTTTCTGTCGTATGTTTCCTAGACAGTTGGTTTTTGCATTGGATGTTGAAGCAGTTTTGTGAACGGGTAACAATTTCGGATTATGGTTTTGTTTTGATGGTTGTCAAGGCAATTTCGGGTCTCAACTGTGCTTTGTTCGTGCTTTCTGATGTGTGCTTTGTAGTAGTTGATGAATAGATGTTTATGTATAATAATCCGATTAATATCTAGACAAAGTGGTTTGGTGCCATAGAGAGAATAGAATGCCGCCTGTACTCGTTCCTGTTAGGTTAATTGGTACAGGTGTTTAGCTCCTGGCATTCTACTCATTGGATAGATGATTGTTGATACCGCAATTGATACCGCAAAACTGTGACTCGATAATAATTCGTCTTGCGAACCTTCGGTTGCCGCAGTAGGCTGGAAGTTTGGTACGAGTATTTGTGATATACTGAATATCGTTTCAAATTTGTTTATATTTTGTATTAGCGAATACACATATTATTTTGTGGGAGTGGGAGTGGGATTGGGATTGAGATTGAATTTTAATTGTTATTCGGTATTAGGGATTACGAGATTGGGATCGGTATATACTGAAATACGGATCAATACCGAAATAAAAGCTAGTGTGTATTGTATCCTCTCAACTAGACTCTCTTATTCAATACTATGCGACCCTCAACCACAAAAAATGTCATTTAATTATACATAGATCATTACATCACTATTTCACACTAGTATTAGTCGTCTCTCAACCTCAAATTCGTCAAATTAAAGATTACCAATTACAAGAACTTGAGATGTTAGCTCTAGGAAACTCAAGACTATTTGCTTAGTCTCTTTGCCCTAAATTAAACAATAAAATCTAATTTATATATTTAATTATTAATTACAAAGGTAATTAATTATGTATTCCATTGGGATACCGAGGTACCGATTGGGATACCGAAATTATTTAGGGACTGAGATTGTGATTGATTTTAGGGTGTAATTCGGTATTCGGGATTTCGATATTTGGTATTGGGATACCAATACCGTACCGATTTCCACCCCTAATCGTAAGTCATTGTGTAATTTCATTGGGCTTCCCTCCTTGTATCCTGTTGTAGCCTGTAGGTGCAAGCAAGGCCAGCAACAGAACACTGGAAAAAATCCTAAATTACATAAGTTCTTAAAAAAAAATTCCCAAAATACATCAATTATAAAAAAAATTCCAAAAGTACACATGTTTCACATTCACCGTTTTTGACAAACGTAGTGAATATAATCACCGTGTTTGACAAAGACGGTGAACATTTCACCATTTTTGAATAAAACGATGACGTGTTCACCGTATTTGACAAAAACGGTGAGAACCGAGGGAGCCATTCACCGTTTAAAAAGAAAACTATGAAAACATCACTGTTTTGATCAAACGCGGTGAATGCTCCCCGTTTCGATATGCCACGATGAATGCTCTGCGGATCACTGACGTGGACAAACACGGTGCATTCACCGTGTTGGACAAACACGGTGAATATCCCGTGTTTGTTTACGTTAGCGATCCGCGTCGCTTATCCACTTACCGTTGCCGTTGGATGCGGTGAGGCGCGGATCGGGATTTTCTTCCCAGATTCGATGCCTCACATCAAGCCACGCCACTCGATCCGCGTCGCTCACCGTTTTCAATAAAGGCGATCCATTCACCGTCGCTGTCAAAGACGGTGATTGCTCTCCATTTATTTTCGTAGATCCCTCCCTTCCCTCCCTATAAATAGAACCCTTCCCCCCTCATCCAAATCACACCACCACATTTACACTTCTTTCTCCCTCAATCTATCCACTCTAGTCTCATTCTAAGTATGCTCTATGGTTGCGGCTAAGTCCGATCTTCCACATCATAAAGAATTACTAGAGTTATACCCTAAAGCCCCCGTCCCTTATAAACCCGTCAAACCTCTGTCCGGCTTCCGCCAAAAAATGGACGAAGAGGCTCTTCGGGTATGTTTTTTGTTTTTCTTTTGTGATTTTTTTAATCAAAACAATTTGATTTTGTGATTTTTTTAATCAAAACAATCTAATTCTATTTTTTTTTATAGATGGGTGCCGAGATGTATGATCATCAATTATATATCCATTATGGCCCAAGAGATACGAGGTATTTAACCGATCAACAAGCACATTGCTCCCGTGCTATTTGGGATAACAATCCGGTAAATTGATGATTTATTTTGTTTTATTTTATTATTTTATAAGGTATTATTTTGCTTTCTTTAAACTAACAAATTGATGTTGTTCCTATTTTTGGTAGGAATCACTTATTCCTGTCGTTCATAAAGGGACCACAAACTTGCCCGCTTGGCATGATCGGTTGGCGCCCTATATAGAGAGGACCGGGTTGGGTATTGCTAAGACATTTCATCCGGATCGAAATCGACAACGATCTGCTTACGACAATGGCGTAGCGATGGCGCCCGGAAACCTATACGTTCCACCTTCCGGAGGGGGAAATGACGATCACCCTCAAAGACGTCGCGATCCTCACCGGGCTACCGATTTGTGGAGAGGCCATCATTAGGAGCACTACCAAACCCAAAGGAGGTTGAGAGCCACTCATTCGTGATCGTTTGGGCTTTGACATGCCGACCACCGCACCAATTCAAGGACGGGGGCATCCACCATTGAATGCGGGACAAGTGTCGATCCTGTGACTCGTTACTCACATCCAAAATGAGGTGGTCATCGACAACGAGACACAGGAAGATCCAGTGGAGCGCTATGCACGCATCTACCTCCACCCCATACACCTGTTTCCACTGAAAATATCCCTCACTACGATCGAAAAGAACAACTTTATGCTTACTTGATTTTTCATCGTTCTTCTGCATTTGCTCAAAGACGTCATGTGCTATCGGATGACCAGATATCTCCCTCCCTATCGCTAGCTGCAGCCGAGCCACCCGCCACTCGTTGATCTTCCAGTATGACATCTCCACTATGACAGAAATAGGCATCGCTTGAAGGCCCTTGTACACATTATTTATACTTTCTCCATGGTTAGTAGTTGCAATGCCCCATCTGGCCCCGTTGTCCATATGGAACATCCACATGACCAACTCTTGACCTTCAGCTCATACTGCTCCAGCTCGGTGGGTCTGACGGATCGTCTTCATCTTCTGCTTGTACTTTTTTGGCTGATGTGCAACCGCTGCAAGGTGAACAAAATCAAACTGGTCAATACATGATAAATAACAAAATATTAAATGCGTAGTTAAAGGACATTAGTACCTGCATGCCACAATTGTTTTTTTATGTCTTTCTTCTTCCCAAATTTGTGCTGGAAATTGGCGAGCCAGTGTCGAATACACCAGCGCCATGTCCATCCCCACTCGTCAGAAAAACCACCCACGACATTCCTAATCCCTGCGTGTCGATCGGATATAATCGCAATACCCTCCCGCTGTGTCACGTGTTCGTGTAGTTGTTCAAAGAACCATGCCCAACTTAAACTGTTCTCCCCTTCCACTAATGCAAATGCAAGCGGGAAAATCCGCCTGTTTCCATCAACGCCAGTGGCAATGAGAAGAGTTCCTCTGTACTTCCCAGTAAGGAAAGTTCCATCAACCTAATTAAAAATTAGGATATAATTAGTATGAAATTTACTTAGCAGGAAAGAATACGAACATTTCAAATAGTAAATAGTTATTAAAATACCTGAATAACTGTTATGCAGAACGCAAACCCGTCAATGCATGGTTTGATATCCCAAAAAAGACGGTGAAACATCAACTTCTCCTGTACTCGAACTTGATCCTCAGTGAATACATTGTTGTATACTGGCACGAAAACAGTCCCAGGGCTGGACTCCTCCATTACGGCCATAAGTCTAGGGAGTAAAGCATACGAATCCTCCCAATCACCATACACCTCAGCCATGGCTTTCTGCTTTCCATGTCATGCTTTTTTGTACCCTATCGTGTAAGAATGTCGATCCTTCACCTCGGCCATGATACCTTTGACCTTGATATCTGGTTGTACTTCGGTAAGGTGCTTAATAGTTTTCCCAAATTTCTTTGCTTTAAGTTTCCTATCCTAGGAACGTATCGACGAGGAGCAAGTGTGGTTGGTCTCAACTTTTCGAATCACCCAGACACCCTTTCTCTTCATATTTGCAGCTCGTAGTTGCCACGTGCAGCCCCCTGCATCATTCTTGCATATGACATGTAGTTGTTTACTGTCAGAATATTTTACCTTCCACTCAAAATTGCGCCTCAAGACCTCTTTGGTAAAGGCATCCTGCACAGCGTCCTTCAATGAGAACGCCATACCCACCTCCAAATTGGTCGTTGGATTATACACTGGCAAAGGGAAAAAGTCGGGGGCATCATTCTGACTATGTAAAAATTGAGTTGGAACCTGAGTGTAGTATGGCGTCGGTGCCTCACGAAATACGGCCTCGTCGTCGTTATCATCAGTATCTTCCTCCTCGCTCACTGATCTCAAATCTTCCTCAGTATCATCGTCGCTCGAGTCGAATGGATAGCTCGGGCTAGAAGGATCAACATGACCACCATCACCAACATCGTCTTCTCGCCCATGTGAAGTATGCCCTGATCGAATGGTATTATCAATTTCAGCCCACTCAGGCCCCCAAGCAGGCTACTGAACGCCATCGGCAGGTTGATCCCGTTGTGAGTATTCTTCCGATGGCACCCATCCTGCACTCCTACCTCCACCGTAGTTGCTTGAACTACCACCCTCTCCGTAACCTCATGTATAACCACCTCCTTCGTAGTTGCTCGAACTACCACCCCATCCGTACCCTCCTGCAAAACCATCATCATAAGAATACTGGTGAGAATGAGTTTTACCGGCCGCCTCGGTCTCAACATACACCTATGCTTGCCGCAACCCGTTATCGCTTAGGAACTGTAACATCATCGTAACCGCGTCATCGTCGTTTATGACAACTTCTTGGTACACAACCCCGCCAACACTCATGTCTGGATACCGGTAACTAATTTTACCAAGTCTCGTCTGTCCACTCGTACAAACCATGTATGCACAAATATCACAGAGTTCTTGCAAATTGAATCGCGACTCAATTTTCAGCATAGTGGATAGGGCTGGAAGTTTGGTACCGGTATTTGGGATATACCGAATACCGTACTGAAATTATCTATGTTTAGTATTACCGAATACACGTATTATTTCGTGGGATTGGGATCGGTATATACCGAAATACCGATCAATACCGAAATATAAGCCAGTGTGTATTTTATCCTCTCAACTAGACTCTCTCATTCACTACTACGCGACCCCCAACCACTAAAAGTGTCATTTAATTATACAAAGATCATTACATCACTATTTCACACTAGTATTAGTCGTCTCTCAATCTCAAATTCATCAAATTAAAGATTAACAATTACAAGAACTTGAGATGTTAGCTCTAGGAAACTCAAGACTATTTTCTTAGTCTCTTTGCCATAAATTAAACAATAAAATCGAATTTATATATTTAATTATTAATTGCAAAGGTAATTAATTATGTATTCGATAATACCGATTGAGATACCGAGGTACCGATTGGGATACCGAAATTATTTAGGGATTGGGATTGGGATACCGAAATTATTTAGGGATTGAGATTGAGATTGATTTTAGGGTGTAATTCGGTATTCGGGATTTTGGTATTGGGATACCGATACCGTACCGATTTCCACCCCTAATAGTGGATACACTGTCCTCATAATCAATCCCTATGTCAGAGTTTGTCGCCCTTCCATTCCACCGAATAATAAGCTGAAACTTCTTGAATTTACCCATATCTACAATTTACAATAGGCTAAATTACACATTTGGACACTCGAATTACATAAACATTTCACGTTTGCCACCCAAATTAATTTTCTTTCAATGTAACCACTCACTTTACGAATCGTTTCACCGTTGGTCACCCTCCGTCAGTCTCCGTCAGACTCCGTTAACGCCGTCAGATTTTTGATGACGTGGCAAACGGAAGTGCTGACTGGGCTGACAGAGAGGCTAAAAAAGACGGCTTTGACTGCCTAGTCAGCCACATACCCGACCCAGCAATTTAATTGACCCGTTTTTTGTATTTCATTTTTCTTTTATTTTATTTTTATTGAAAAAAGGTTTACTTTTAGTTGGAAAACTGAAAACGATCGGGCAGAAGGGGCTTTTCACTTCTCTTCTTCTCTTCTTCTCTTCTCTTCGTATTCTATTCGGGGTCAATCTTGCAAGGAGAACACCTTGTATAGAACAGAACAATACATAACATAAATGCAACCATAACCTGCTAGATCCAGACCACGTTGAACGAGAACAGCAGCCCAATCCCTCTAGCAAACCCTACCAGCCTCCGACCCGACCCGTGGATGAACCGCTCCTCCGTCGCGTCGTGCGCCAGAGCCGTAATCCGCAGCATCTCGTTCGAATTGGGGGAACTCGACAGAGCCTGCATCAGCGCAATCATCATCACACCTGAGCAGATCCGGAGCTCGACCACGTGGATCCGCTTCTCTCCGTCGAGATTCTCCATCAAAATCTGGACGGCGGCGAGCTGGGAGGCGCTGTAGAACGGCACGCTGTTCCGGTACTCCATCACGCTCTTGTCCGGGAGCGTCACCGCCGCGTCCGATACCAACGGCTTCCGATGATCGTCTACCGATTCGCCGCCGCGGCTGGTCTTTTGGGCTTCGATCCGCTGGCGGAGGGCGTTGCAGAAGTAGTACCCGACCCGCTGGACCGGACTGCCGGCCTGAGAAGCGAACCGGTCGCAGAGGTCGAGCACCTGGAGTGCGAGGCCGAATTTCCCCTTTCCGACGTTCTCCGCGCACTCGAGGAGGTACTCCATGAGCTCCACGTTATTGGATTCCTCCTGGGTGAGTCCCGTGAGGAGGTGGGGGACGTCGATTCCTTGCGCCGGCGACCTGGATTGTAAGATTCTGGCTCCGGCGAGCTTTATGTCCTGCAGAGAATAGAATACGAAGAGAAGAGAAGAAGAGAAGAAGAGAAGTGAAAAGCCCCTTCTGCCCGATCGTTTTCAGTTTTCCAACTAAAAGTAAACCTTTTTTCAATAAAAATACAAGAAAAGAAAAATGAAATACAAAAAACGGGTCAATTAAATTGCTGGGTCGGGTATGTGGCTGACTAGGCAGTCAAAGCCGTCTTTTTTAGCCTCTCTGTCAGCCCAGTCAGCACTTCCGTTTGCCACGTCATCAAAAATCTGACGGCGTTAACGGAGTCTGACGGAGACTGACGGAGGGTGACCAACGGTGAAACGATTCGTAAAGTGAGTGGTTACATTGAAAGAAAATTAATTTGGGTGGCAAACGTGAAATGTTTATGTAATTCGAGTGACCAAATGTGTAATTTAGCCATTTACAATAAGTAACTATTAGCTTAATTCCAGTAATTCATAACATCGGCCATATTTGCTACGATAAGTAATTCATAACATAACAATATAACTACGAAAAACAACCATTAGGCTACAATACGAAAATTAAATCACACCGAAAATTCCTGTTCTGTTTATGTTGCTCGATTTTGGTTGCTGAAATTCGAAGAGGGAGAGGGATTACGTTTTACAACTGCTGGTGGGAGTGGTATTTAAAGAAAAATCGGCCAGCATTCACCGCCTTTGTCTCAAACGATGAACAACATCACCGCATTTGTCTCAAACGGTGAACATTAGGTGGTTGTGATCTAATTTTCACCTACTAGGGGTGGGAAACGTGGGAAACAATCACCGCCGTAACCTAGGGTGGTGAAGATATTCCCCGCTTTGCCCTAAAATGGTGACGTGTTCACCGCTTTTAATATACACGGTGATGTCTTCACCGTTTTTGTTAAACGCGGTGAACACTTCACCGCTTTATTTAAAGACGGTGAACACGTCATCATTTTATTAAAAAACGGTGAATGTGAATCATGTGTACTTTTGGAAATTTTTTATAACTTATGTATTTTGAGAATTTTTTTTAAGAACTTATTTACTTTGAGATTTTTTTTCGCATAACACTTGTATGTACTAATAATAACACAATAATAATTAGAAAAGAAGATTTGTTTACCGAAAAGTATATACAAGTTGATGGGTTGGGTTTAGGGCTGCAAACAAGCCGAGTCGAGTTTTTGCTTAACTTGAGCTCGGCTCATTTATAAATTTTTTAGTTCGAGCTCGACTCGAACTCAAATTTTGATCATCGAGCTCGAGCTCGACTCGATTAAAAATAATCGAGCTCGAGCTCGGCTCGATAGAGCTCGGTAAATGCTCATTAATACAGCTTGTCAAGCTGAGTACAAGCTCGACTCAAGATAAGCTCGATTTGAAACCATTCTTGTTGAAAAATGTGTACAAATAAGAACATTAGAAATTAAAAATGATAAAAAGAACACTAGAAACTAAAAATTAACATCTAACTTCCATACACATCCTTATTAACAAGATAATTTTCATGTTCAGAAGAGTAATTAATCCTTCCACAAGCTTTAAACAAGCCAGCTCGGGAGCTTAGCTCAACAAGCCACCGAATCAAGCTAGCTCACGAGCTTATCAAACCGAGCTAGGCCTAGCTCAAACTTGGCTCGTTTACTAACGTGTCGGCTCGCGAGCCGGCTTGTTAAACAATAAGTCGAATGTCGAACAAGTTTTTTCCAATTCGAACACCGAGTTGCTCGCGAGTGGCTTGACTCATTTGCAGCCCTAATTGGTTTCCATCCTTCCCAACAACTATTTGGTGCAGAAAGCAATAATTTTTTTCTTAGTTTCCTTTCACCCGAAGCGACAAACCACAGAAAGCAATGCCCTCACTCAATCAAAATCAATACGCAGAGATTCAACCACAACAAATACCCATCCATATTTCTCCATTTCCTAGGGGTTTGACTGTTTGAGTTCCCAAGTTGCAATCATTCAGCAGCAGGTAGCATATCATCCCCAAAACTACTGTTAGTCGTATTAATTGAACACCCCGCCCGCAATCACACGCCTCTACGATTGCCACAGACAGAGACTGAGAGAGGCCGATTCCCTTCCCCGTTATTCTTCTTCTTCTTCCTCCTCCCCTCCTACATCTGTCTTCCAACAGCTCCATTTATCTGCGAATGGGTTCTTTAGAAAGGTCCAAGAAGAAAGTGCAGCTGTGGAAGAAAGCCGCCGTCCATTTCGCACTCTGCTTCGTCATGGGCTTCTTCACCGGGTTTGCCCCCACGGGCAAGGCCCCAGGGTTCTCCTCTCGCTCAGTCATTTCATCGAACACCTCATCGGCAGCAACCCTCCACTCCCCACCCCAACTGCATTCAAGTCGAAACCTCATCTCACAACAACAACAACAACAACCACAACCACAACCACAACCGAGGTCAAGCTCCGGTATCCAAGACCCGTCATCACCCGATTTGAAAACAGAGGAGGAGGAGGAGGTGGTCACGGGGACAGCAGACCTGGGTTCCAAACTGAAACTCACCCCCAGAAGGCTAATAATCATAATCACGCCCACCAACGCTAGGGATACGCACCAAGGGGTGCATCTCCGGCGCCTGGCGAACACGCTGAGACTGGTTCCGTCGCCGCTGCTGTGGGTGGTGGTGGAGCCGTCGGCGGGGAAGAAGACGGAGCTCTCGGAGATGCTAAGGTCGACGGGTATGATGTACAGGCATCTGGAGTACAGGGAGAATTTCACGGCGGCGGAGGCGGAGTTGGAGCACCAGCGGAATTTGGCGTTGAAGCATCTGGAGCGCCACCGGCTGAGCGGGATCGTGCATTTCGCCGGGATTCACAGTGTCTATGACCTAGACTTCTTCGACCACCTCCGGGAAACTGAGTAAGGATGAATAAATAAACCTTTTGCTTTATTTCCTATTTTCTTTTTTGGTTGTTGTTTGGCTTTGTTTTCACTTTTCAGTTTTCACGCGCTGACTGTTGACTGCCGACCCACTTCAAAATTTTGAGCATTGCCCGGCGCCATGCTAATTTAATCTGTTCCCTTTAAGTATAGATATCACGTTTTTTATTTTATTTTTAAAACGGTTTTGAAATTTTCTTCTACAATAACTCCCACAATTTCACTTTATAACGTTATATATATAATAAACGGTAAATTACATGTTTGGAAACTCAAATTAAATAAATCTTTCACGTTTGTCACCCAAATCACTTTTCTTTCTTATTCGCCATTAACTTTATGAATCATTTCATCGTTAATCACTGGCCGTTAGTCTCCATCAAATTCCGTTAACTCCGTCAATTTTTTGATGATGTGGCAAACGGAAGTGTTGACTGTACCGTTAACTAATTACATGTCCATCAACCACATCTTCATTACGTGAAGGAGGCTTGGAGCCGTGCTAAGTTGGTGTGCAATCCCATAGATGTCCCAGATGGCGATATGATCAGCTCTATAAGCAGGTGGCCCACGGTTACTCCCGCTGATATTGAGGGGTAAATTCGCTTTTGCTTTTTACACTCCATTTGTTGGCTAGTGTGGCTGGAACGAAATCAGAGAATTTTCAGAGACGCCCAGACGAATGCTCGAGGGACATTGAGAAAGGCTTTTCGGAATGCAGCAGAGTGGATCATCGTTCATGGCAATATTGACAAAGAGGAAGGTATAAGGTGGCTGAAAAATCGGATTGGTATGATCTGATGAGTTTGAGGAGCGTTGGGAGTCTGCTTTGCAGCGCTTCTGTTTTGATGAGGCGATTGTGTGTCAGCTGCTCTGGTTCAGTTGGGGAGCTGCTTCTCCTCGGGTTTCCTTTTGCTGCTCGCCTCTCCCTGGGCTGCCTGCTCTTCCCGTTTGGCTTGTTGGATTGGTTGCAGCCCTTTCGCAGTCATCATTTTGTGTCGTGAATTGTGATTTTGTGTGTCTGTTTCAAGGTTTGCTTCAGGAGCGCCCTGGCCCGCTTAGTTGCTTTAGGTGGTGGTCGTGTGATGGTCTGGTTTTATTGCAGCTCTGTTATTTGACCCCTGCAGCGCCTTGGTCTGCTTTGTTGTTTTTTGTTGGCTTTTTTGCCATTGTCGAACTTGGGCTTTGGTTCATCTCTCTTGAACCTTTGCCCCTCTTTGTTTCCTTTTTTGTGCAATAGAGTTTAATCACCAGTATAAAAAAAACTAATTACATGTCAATTTCAAAAGTAAAAAAATTAAAATATTGATCCCTCATTCTCCACTGCCGCCGTCGACCACACTCCAGATCACATCTTCCTCTTGGCCCCATCCCCCATCCTTCCGACGCCGCCGAGAGCTTCCCCTGTTTTAAATTTATCGGCGGATCTCGCCGCTAGACTCTGCCGACAAGTTATATCTCTCTCATTCAATTTGTTATGAAGACCTCAAAGAAGCATGATTTCGACGTAGAGAAAGGGGATTTGGTCAATGAACAACTCTTGGACTCTTTAATATCACATATCTCCCAAAGAGATTTCGTTAACAAATTTGGGCAGGATTCATGATTTATTGATTTTTTGTGGTGAAATAACAAAGTGTATTTAGGATTGGTTGTTGAGACGTTGAATAGAGAGAAAAAGCGCATGCTGGAGTCTGGGCTCGAGGGAAGAAAAGCAGGGGTAGTCGGAAAAGTTTTCTCTCTCCTGCTTGAGGGAAGAAAACCAGTGATGCCAAATCTGTTGCTGTCGGTGAGAGGAAGAAGATTGCTGATCCGGATCAATTTCTAGAAAAACATAGCACATAGTCATTTCCATGTTCTGTCTGGGCGATTTTCCTGCCGAATAGATATGGACGGAGAAGCACCGGTCATCGGATGGAAGAGGGACCAGGGCTTGAAACTGGTTATGGATGGGTTTTGGGCTTGAAACCCAAAAATGCAGAGGATGTAGCTTCGAGATGAAGCGTACAAATAGAACCCACTCCAGCAACGATGGAGAGCGGCCGCGGCGGCCGGAAGCACAAAACCAAGCAGCAAGTACAAAAAGTTCTAACTTGGGTACTGGTGGCAAAATCGAAGCTAGGAATTTGGGGTTTTTTATTTACTTGGATAGAATCTCGGATTTGAGGTGACGAAGAGGCTGGATTCCGGCGACGGGGAATGGAAGGACTGGAATGGCTAGCGGAAGGGATGTGATCGTATATGGTCCATATAATATGGAGCTTTCTTCGTGTCGCCGACTAAGAGATGAACTATAAATTTTTTTTAATGTTTAATTTTTTTAAATTGACATATCATTACGTTAACGGTCTAGTCAGTAGTCTCGTTTGCCATATAGTAGAAAAATTGAAGGAGTTAACGGAGTGTGACGGAGACTAACGGTCGGTGACTAATAGTGAAATGATTTTTAAAGTTAGTGACGAATAAGAAAGAAAAGTAATTCGGGTGGCAAACATGAAAAGTTTATATAATTTAAGTGACACAAACATGTAATTTAGCCTATAATAAACATTATAGAGAAGAATTATCTTCAATTGAATATATGTAGCTCTATTTCTAGGTGTATTGGATAGTCTTTTCTATTATTCATAAGATGTCGTCATTACACTTAAATTTGAAATCTTTTCTAATGGAGTTCTGAGTTCTAACCACTTAAACACACATTTTGAACGCCCTAGCAGCCTAGCACAATGTGTTTGTTTATGTCTCATAAATTGAGTAATTATTTTGTGCTATAGAATTATTTAAATTTATCCAACAAACACTTTAACCTTTCGAATATCTTTTTATCGTAGAAGCAGGGAGCGGATCTGCATAACCTTGTGGTCAATAACTATGTATAACCCAATTAGAATCCGCCACATCAGCACTCATTCTCTGTCACGAAAAGTCTTTAATTAGAATCCGCCATAAGAGCATACATATGGTATGAAAAGCGTATCATGGTGGTATGAACAAACCAAGACTATGAGATGGTTGAATACATGATAGTAGAATTATATTAACTATAAGATGTTATCGAAGGTGCTAGCAAACCGGTTGAAACTACTCTTAGACAAGTTCATCTCACCGGAACAGAGTGCTTTCGTCCCAAGTCGTTTCATTGCTGATAACGTAATGACTGCCTTTGAGTGCTTCCATACCATGAAGAAGAAAACAAAAAATAAGACGGGCTATCTAGCGGGCAAAATTGATATGGCTAAAGCTTATGATAGGGTTGAGTGGTGGTTTTTGGAAGGGATGATGCAACGGTTGGATTTTGAAGCAAGGTGGATTAGACTGATTATGTTGTGTGCTAAGTCAGTGTCATACGCGGCTGTGGTGAATGGCCACAAATCACATACGTTTGTACCGAGCAGGGGACTAAGGCAGGGAGACCCACTGTCTCTGTATCTTTTTCTGTTAGTAGCGGAGGGCCTGTCATGCTATACATCCCACACCGTTAATCAGAAAAGATACATGGGCTTTCGGTAGCTAGGGGGCTCCGGTCATCTCACATCTCTTTTTTGCTGACGACTCTATCTTCTTTACTAGGGCGACGGAGAAGGAGAGTCGCGAGCTGAGAAGGGTGCTCGCTGGCTATGAAAAGGAATCGGGCCAGCTAGTTAGTTTGGAAAAGTCGGAAGTGACCTTTGGAGCAAACGTGAAGCCGCACCAACATTTATTGGTGAGCTCGACGTTGGGAATGAGGGTAGTGGATTAACACAACAAGTACTTAGGCCTGGTGACCGAGGTTGGTAGGTCTAATAAAGAGCTCTTTATCTACTTGAAGGACCGAGTTCGAAAGAAGCTGGCAGGGTGGAAAGAGAAGTCGATGTCAGCTGCAGCAAGAGAAGTTCTGATAAAGTCGGTAGCTCAAGCTCAACTAACGTATACGATGTCTGTTTTTAAGGGTCCCGACGGGATTCTGGATGAGATACATGGGTTAATTACCCGATTTTGGTGAGGGTATAAAGGAGAAGAGAGGAAGACCCCATGGGTGGAGCGGGAGGCACTTATTTGTACGAAGGAACAAGGGGGTATGGGCTTTCGGGACCTGAGAGGTTTCAATCAGGCTTTGCTTGCGAGGCAACTTTGGCACTAGTATCAGAGACCGACGTCCTTAGTAGCAAGAATCATGAAGGCGAAGTATCATAAAAATGTTGACGTTCTTGAGGCTCGCGTCTGCTACCGACCCAACTATGTTTGGCGAAGTCTGATGAGTGCTCAGGAGTTCCTGGTTGATGGTATTCGATGGAGAATCGACAATGGCTCTGTTGTTCGCATATGGGGGGACCGATGGCTGCCCTCAACTCCGAATAACATTATTCAGTCCCCTTCAATGGGCCCCCCGGTAGACTCAGTGGTCCGCGAATTGATTGACGAAGACGAGGAGAAGTGGGATGACACTCTTTTGGAGAGATGCTTCCCTACTGACATGGTGCAAGCAATCAAACAAATCCTTTACGTAGGGCTGGTAATCGATTCGGTTACCGGTTAACCGGTAACCGATTATCCGGTTAACGGTATACCGCCAGCATAAAAATGAAGACCGACTACCGGTACCGATTTCTAACCGGTTAACCGGATAACCGGATAGCCGGTTACCGGTTACCACCGGTTATACCGAGAAACCGAGAGGGAGTGCGGAGATATCTTTGCTTCCTCTTCAGTCTTCTCATCGCTTCGTCTTTCTCTTCTCCCTCCAATCCGACCAACACCAGATGCTTCTTCACCTTCTTCTTTCCCTCTTCATCAACAACCAACAGTCTCTCCTCCTCCCTCCCATCCTCCGCCAAAGCCAATCTCCCCACTTCCTCACCATCTTCCTTCGACCCACCCCCTGCATCTGCATGCCTCATTTGATTCCGCCGGATCGAGGCCAATCGACTCCCCGCTGTCGTTTCTTGGTCGGCTACTGTCTCACCATCCACATCGCGGCGGCAGAAGTGACAGATTGCATCACATGCAGTCATCCGCGGAGAGAGTTCTGACTTTTGAGGAGGACGAGAGGAACAGGGCAACAAGGCAAGGGAATCGATCCTTAGTTCCTTACCTATGGAGCTCGATCGGTCCTGCTGGATCTCCACGGCAGTGGCGGGTGCTGGAGATGATTGAGGGAAAGAGGGCTCGGCGTCGCCGGCGACTGGGAAGAGGAGGGAAGGACAGGGGAGGCCGGAGGCGGAGTCGCAGAGCGACGAGCAAGGGAGGCGGAGTCGAGTCGGAGAGGCGGAGGCTGAGACGCGAAGAGTCGGAGAGTCGCAGAGATGGGAGGCGCTCGGCGGAATCGGAGTCGGCGAGGGAAGGGGTAGTTTGAATCGGAGTCGGAGTCGCCGTCTCGTCGTCGTCTGTGTCTATTCTGTCGATGTGGGGACTGGAACTTCGATTTTCAATTTTGGAATGGCGAAGAATCGTTGTTGAAGTCGTCGTCTCGTCGTCGTCAGTGTCTGTTCTGTCGATTTTGGCGAGGAAGACGGTTGGATTGGACAAGACTCGACACCCCAGTGGTGGATTAGGGTTGGGGCATTCTGCAGAAACGTCGGCATTTTACCCTCCCAGACGGTATCGGTCTACCGAATACCCGTCGGTATTTACCGATAATGGAGACGGTATACCGTGACCACCTCAAACGCTGCCGACAACCGACACCGCCGGTTATCGGTTTACCGGTAACCGCCGGTTATCGGTACGGTTACCGGTTAAACCGATAACCGGATAACCGTTTGTCACCCCTGCCTTTACGCCATCCTGAAGAACATGATCGTCTGATTTGGGTGGATAGTGTCGATGAGCAATACACGGCCAAAGGAGGATATAAGACCTGGTTGAGTAACTATCAACAACAACGGGAGTCACGAAGTGTTGGTGATCCGGCTCTTTGGAAGCTACTTTGGTCGTTAAAGCTACCGCCGAAGGTGAAGTTATTTATGTGGAAGTTTACAAGAGAAGCTCTGACTACTGGGGAGCAAGTCCACAAACGCAATGAGCAGTTAAGTGGGACGTGTCCATTTTGTGATCAACTAGAAACGCAACTGCATGCGTTTTACGACTGCTCATGGGCAAGCCGGTTGTGGTGGACCTCGGTAGTAGCTCACTGTTTTGAATTAAGAGGAGACCGCAACTGCATGTATTGGGTTCGTCAGGTCATCAAGATAGTCCCGGTGAACGAGCTTGAAGAATGGATAGTGTTATTATGGTCGCTTTGGAAGGAAAGGAACGCACACATGTTTAATGGGAGGAAGTCAGAAGAGAATGACATTGTATCTAGAGCGCAATCTTTCCTGGAGGAATATCGACATCACCAGCAAGATTTGGAACATATGTCACGTTCCGCTGTTTGTCAATCCTGGATACCGCCGCTAGCTAGGAGCATAAAGCTGAACATGGACGCATGTCTGGATGCTGAAGGAGTGGGACTAGGAGTAGTTGTACGAGATCATAATGACACTTTCATTTCGGCTTCCACCTGGCTCGCCAACACCATCTCGCCTCGCCTTTGGTGGAGACAGACTGTCAGGTTGTGGTTACGAAGCTGGGTAAGGCGGTGGATATCCAAATAGAGATGTGGGTTGTGCTTAGAAACATAAAAAGATTGGCGGTTGAATCTGAAGAAGGGCGGGTACAATATGCTAGTAGAAATGCTAATGAAGTGGCACACATTATGGCTCATACGAGAGCGAGACGGGACACTGCAGAGACGGGACATTATGGCTCATACGAAATGCAAAAAATGCTAACAATTTTGTTTCTTTTGGTAAGAATATTCATTAGTGTATATATACTGCATTGGCCGAGGCCGAGATTCATTAGTAAATTTAAGCTTATTCAGATATGTCATAAACACGAATGAAGTAAATGTGTGTAATTAATTAAGTTCTAACTATCCTTAAGTGGATTACTAGCTATCAGTGGGATCCTCTCTGGATTATGCAAAGAAAATGCGTTTCTCTTTGGTTGGAGGAAATTTAAAAAAGTCCTATATAGATTAACTAGATGTCGATGCTCTTCAATCTTCTTGTTCTCTTATTGGAAAAAGAAACAAAGAAAAACTGAAACAATTCCACCGAGTTGGCAGTTGGATTGTGATTCCTCCATTTACCAAACAACGATTTTAATTTTTAAATAAAGATGAGTAAGCATATGACTTGACATACGATTTTGAAATACAAAATTCCGCTCATGATCAGTTCCTTTAGGCAAATATCATATGTGCAAAGAAAATAATCCCCCTCCCGACCGTCGGTGTTTCGTGTTGGAGGGCTCTAATGTCATCCGATTCGTAATTGTTGGATATATATGATGATAATTTTGTAAATAGTCGTCATTAAATAGATCCAACGAACATAAATAGCATTATGGGACCTTTTAATGGTAATAAAGCACGGTAGCCTCCTCTGAATTTCGGGCGATGCGCTCTTGTCAGTTGTCACACATTGTTACTCAAGCATACTTCGATTTTGATGAATTGACCATGTGTTGTGGGCGTGCAGGATGTTTGGGACATGGCCAATGGCATTGCTGACTCCACACAAGAGTGAGGTGGTAATCCAAGGAACTGTCTGCGAGCATCTCAACAAAATGAAGGAGGCTACAACTACAACAAAAGAATTAGAAGTAGTAGTAGTAGAAGAGGATCCAAAAATTCATGTTTCCGGCTTTGCATTCAACAGTTCAATTCTTTGGGACCCTGAAAGATGGGGCCGCCCTTCTTCCTCACAACGCACCTCCCAGGTAATCCATTCACGTGAGATTAGGGACGACAATTTTGCCCATACCATTAGTTTTTTATTATCCAACCCAATTGGGTTAGGTATGAAATCCAAATAGATGGATATGTGTAGAGTTTGATGAGTTTGTACTCATACCCATTTACTTGGGTTGGGTTGAGTTTATAACAAATGGATTTGGGTTTCTACCCATGCCCAAATGCAAATTACAGTTTGGTACCTAAACTTAATAGGTATGTATATTTAGTACTTAAATTTAATTTTTTTGCATATAAGTTCTCAAAATATTGATGGAAAATTACGTTTTGTACCTAAGTTTTTTTGTCTTACATTTTGGTACTTAAACTTTTCAAGTTTTACAAATAGGTCCAATTTTTGCATGTAAAGTTAAAACACACTCAAGTAAATGAATATCCATATCCAACTCATACCCATTTAGTTTATGGAAGCAATATCTATACCCATATCCAACCTATCTACAAATTCCCAAACTCATATGAAGTTCATCCATACCCAACCCATTATCAATGAGTCTACTTGGGTTTGGGTATAATTACATGGGTGGGTAATTGCCATCCTACATCAGATGGTTGATGACATATAAGATGACGATGAAATGCATGTATATATATGACGTTTGTTGTTGGTTTTGTAGAATTCAATCAAGTTTGTGAAGGAAGCAGCTCTAGAAGTACAAGCGGAGACCAAATTAACACAAGGAGAGTGCTCTAAGATAATGGTATGGCGTCTTCGGCTCCCCACTACTACTCCCGAAACAATTCTTTCTTCTTCTTCTTCTTCTTCTTCTTCTTCTTCTTCAGATATCAGCATCCTGTCTCAATAAGCAAAGCATTCATTACATCCACACCAAGACCTAGCCAAGCCAAACCGACCTCTACGGAAATTTTCTTTTTTCCCCTACTTTACCTCTCTTTGTGTAAGTTCCCACGCCGTAAGGTTATAAATTAGCCATTCTTTCTTCTTCATCTATTATTAATAAATAAAGAATATATATTGCTTTTCTTTCCTACTGCCTTTCATCCCTCCGGGTCCGGACGGACTCCTTAGAATGTACTAGATTCGGTTCATAATCGAGATAGAAACTAGATATAGAAAAATCAAGAAATTGAGAATCCTATGTAAATCCGAAGTTTTGATTTCGTGTTATTATCAATGTTAATAAAATTTTATGGAATTGAAATAGAATTGGACTGCATTTGACTCCGTCCAATACTATGTAAATATTAATTCCAACCAATTTGGTTTGACGTGGATGAACCGTGAAACACTCATTGCATCAATTCATATAGTTAGCAGAAGAAACGTCATATATATAACTAGCGTGGAGCCCCGGCCACTTGATCGGAAGAGGTGAGTTAAGAAATTACAGAATGTAATGAGGTGTATAGATTATTGTTGTTTAGTTTTTTTTTTTTTGGAAACACATGATAAAGATAATGAGTTTTAGCAAAAAAAGGCACGAATGGTGCAATAAAAAAACCAGTCTTATGAACCAAGTTCGAGTACCTGTTACCTTGTGAAACAGTATTATTTCTGGTAATATGAGGAGGCGGAGTAAGTTTATAGAAACCGAATTCTAGAAAACCGAATAAAAAATCGCCTATCCCTCCAGTCTTCGAGAAATGAGAATCTCACAATCGTTGCTAGCTTTTACTTGGCCCGTTAGCAGATTAATTTTCTTTATAAAAGTTTCATCTTGTCGTCAAAGTTATTAATTCGAATGGAACAATCCATTCATCAACTCACGGACAGGGTTAAATGGTTAACCTACGATCCAACACAATTAGCCTAGTTTTTCTAATTTGAAACATATATTATGCTATTAATTTTTATTATTTCAAATATATATTATGTAATTATTTGATATCATAATGATTAAATTATAGTGTATTTTATAGGAAAGCGTTTGGTATTTGTTAGTAAAAACTAAATAGAAAGACGCATTTGGTTATTTTTAACATTAAAACAATCCTAAATATTTTCACTTTCCTTTCGACTTTTTATGGTTTTGTTCCCGAAGCAGTGATGTGCAAATGGCGAATTGCATTCTCTCTTTTCTTTCACTATATTTTATTTTCAAATAGAAAGTTTGAAAGTACAGAATAATTAGAGTTTGGCATAGGGTCGGTCAAACATGCTGAATTTCAAGTTTTGGCATGTTTTGATAAAACCTAATTTATAATCACATGGTTCCCTGACACCCGATAAAAATCTTAATCCAAACCATTTTGGCAGCTGAGTCCGTGTTTACCACCCTTTTCTAGGAATACAAAAATGACGGTTCCTATCCCAAATCGTGTCATTCGTTCTTGATTTCTTTAGATTTTATCATGGCATGGCAAAAACCAGAAAGCACAATGAATCCACTGAAACCAGAATCGCCGGGAAGGAGAGTGGTAATCGCAAACACAACGGATGGATCTCCCGACCCAATCTCCTTCACGCTTCCCCGACTAGATTTGCTCGTCGGCGGTAGAGAAGCAAGAACAAAGGGGTATGGAAACAGCTTCCGATCGGGCTGAGAAGTGGGGGAATCATCACCAGAACGGGAAGAAGCATGCACTTCACATGAAATTGACCGCGAAGAACCAGAATCAATGTAGAAGGTTGGTACAGGCGGTGAGTTTGTTGCAATTCACCCATCGATCCACATCTGGCTTGTAGATGAGAAAGGTAGATGCGGCAGGGGAGTGGGCGATCAGTCCGGAATTAGGTAACCAGTTCGTGAAGCGAGAGCGGGAGCGAGAGCAGGAGTAAGAGCGTCTATTTCAGAAGAAATTAAAGTTGAGAGCGTGATGAGAGTGTCATTATTATATTATATATAATTACAGGAGTAAGAGCGTCTATTTCAGAAGAAATTAAAGTTGAGAGCGTGATGAGAGTGTCATTATTATATTATATATAATTATTTTATATTAATATAATTGACAATTAGTATACTAAATATTATTTATTTTGTTTATATTGACAATATATAAATCGTAAAATATTAATGGATAAAGGTTTAATAATATGGGAAAGGGTATATTTTCACAATATTGAATTTAGATTGTATTAATCGTTTGTTCCATTTTTCTTGTCATAAAATTTAACAATTTGAAATTCGAGTAAAAACTAAATGAAAGTCCAAGATTATTGCCACAAAAAAGTCAAAGATTATTAGTAAATGGTCTTTGGGCTTTCCATCCTTAGTACTTCTACAAGTCTATAGTTACGTTGATGTAAAAACAGAAAGGGCAATAATATCCAGCAACCAGAAGCATCGAGACGGTGGATGATTCTCCTCAATTCAAAGGTTTCGGCTCTTCCTGTTCGACGTCGACTACTGGTCGTCATATCTCTCCGACGCCGGAACTCCTTGTTTGCTCCAGAATGAATTATCTCTATAATCTGAGAGCCCTATCTCACTACTCGTTGGTAGTTCTTTCATTTTCATCTCGACAGACCTTCAATTAATCGGCAAACTCCTTCCTCCATTTAGAGCCGATGGTCGCAATGTTCTCGCCTCTCGTTGAGTCTACTCTTATTTCACGCATTTACCCAATTAATGGCTCAAAGTTTCTTTTCAAACTCTATCCGAAAGGGTAGTTTTAATCGGATCCGCGTTCTCCAACAACAAATCCACGCTCCCGCTGAAATCAATTCTCGAATTGTTTACGACTTGCCAGAAATTCGCGTTTTGGCGGATTGGAGTGTGAACGTGGGCTTGTAACCCACGAATTGGGTATCCTAAGTCCGGCAGAACAGATGCGTGTGGCAGAATCCAATTCTATTTTTGTGCGCCGCAACAATCTCTGGGCCCGTTCAAGTCCGCATGTGTACGGTAAGTTGGCCCGTTCCACAGAGGAAAGAGAAAAAAATTAGCACTACCTATTCTACCCGGACTACAAATGCTCATGGAGCAGCAAATTTGAAATGGGGAAATGGTTTTTTCCTTGTTGCTATTATATTATATGTAGATATGATAGATAGAAATTTAAATTAAGTATTAAAATACAACTAAAATAATCAAAATATGAAAATCAAAGTATCAAAACCAAATACGTACTTACGGGAAATTCCGTGACCAACTAATCGTTGAAAAAGTCATATGATTTTCAGAATTTAGTTGCATGTATGTTTTTAATTTAAAAATATACAACAAATATACTTAGTGTGATTGGTTATGATCCTTGCTTCTTTAAAGTGACCATGGTTCAAATCCTAGTACATGTTTTTTTATGAATAAATAAATAAATAATAATTGCAAGGATTGTAAAACTGTACCGAAGGTTTGAAAAGTTTACGGTAGGGTATTTTACGGTAAACCCATGGTTTAATCGTGTTTCAATTTTTTCATACAGTTAAATACCACCTACTGATTTAGTCTCCAATATGAGGGTTTTTTTATCGAACCGTCGATACGATTTTTTAATCCTTGTCAAATTGACACATAGATGAATTAAATTGAACCAAATGCAATGTTGGCCCAAGCCTTGATACTAAGGCCAGATTTAGTATGGTTGATTATTTTCGTTTTCTGTAACGTGCTTAAAAATTATGGAAACCAAAGGGAAAAAACATGTTTAGTTGAGTTTTTAATTTTTGTTGTGACACAAATTTATACAACTAAGTCAAATCAAAGAAACAAAATTTATTTTACGGTTGATAGTATTGCCCCTCTACTATAGTTTTTTCTCGAACCTACCCCTCTACTATGTTTAACATCAAACTTTCCCTCATACTATTACCACAATATCAAATATGCCCTTTCGTGAATATTTCTGTCCGAGCTCCATTGAATCCGGTCAGACCAATCCGAACTAAGAAAAATGAGAGGTGAAATATCAAATTTACCCCTCCCTTTTCCATTTTATCTCCGTGTAATTTCTCAAAAGACCAGTATGGATAATATGAAAGGATTCATTGATCACATTGGTGCTAGAAGGAAAAGAAATGCTAGAAGTTTTAGCTTTAACATAGCTAGCACAAGAATGATTAACTGAAATTCCAACATCATTTTTTCCTAGAAGATATTGTTTAAACATCATGGATAGATGACCTAAGTGTGGATACCCCAAACGACCATTGCCAAATTTCACACACTTTATTTGATAGCTCGAAAACACAGAACCTGGAACATAATGAGTTTTGACTGACACAAGAAGACTATTGACAAACCTAAGACCATTCTGGCTAACGCGCGGCAAATTCGAACAATTTCGGAGCTCCTCCAAATGAAATATTCTACCTTGCTTACTCCCCCTTCCGATCTGCCTCCTTGTCTTCAAAATCCTGTATTACACAACCAGTTGGGGCATACATAACAAAATATCCCTGCACAGTAAGTTGCAAGACTAAACTAAATCATGAACTAATTTCGGCATATGTAGAGTTTTGGATAAAGAGACATCAAGCGTGTCTACTTTTCCTATTCCTTTTACGGCCAACATATCTCCATCTGCTACTATTAAACCAACATGACTTATAAGCTTAATATCAAGGAGTGCACTAATGTTATGGGTCATGTGATTGTCAGAGTCTACCAACCATAGGGATTTTTTGGCCATACTTTGAAGGGTTGATAGCGTCGTTCATATTGTTGTTGGAAGAGAGTTTTGGAGAGCAGCTACGGCCTGGACAACCTGTTCTATCTGAGCTGTGGTAGAAACCTAGTGGAGATTAGGGGTGGATATTTGGACAGGGTTTTTTGGTTTAACCCAAAATAGGACCGTATAATTCGGACCGAGACCGGAGAGCAAACAATCCAATCCCATCTTCGAGCCTCGATTTGAGGTAAACAACCGTTCGGGACCGGACCAAAAACCAGATAAGAGACCCAAAACCCAAAATTTAACCTACTCACGCTTTCAGGCCTTAGACCACTCAAATCCCCACAAACTCAATCTAAATTCAAGACCGAATTGGGACCGGATCGGTTCAAGACCGGACCAAATCCATATCGGATTGTATACAATCCACTCTTCGGTCCTTATATTCTGGAAAATACCAGATCGAGACCGGATCAATTCGAGCCAATTTAATCGGACCATACCGTATAGCCACCTCTAATGGAGATGGTGCTTGATCTGCCTTCCTCAACAGTATAGGTGGGTCGGTTGTAACGCCCGGGCGCACCCTTCCCAGTACCAGCTTGTGGAGCTACTCCAACAAAGCACTTCACATTCTTCTCTCTTGTATGACATTCCAAAACTATATGGCCCATCCTTTTGCAATACACACAATAATTTCTACAACGACAATGCTGACCTTTCTCATCATAGTGATGACATTCTAGTTATAGCTTGGAACTCTGCCTTGAAATTGAGTTTTCAAAACAGCTAAGGCATGTGAGTTTGAACCTGTACCTGAGATGGCGAAGCTGCTATAATGGTTTCTCCCTCCCCATGACGTGTGTCCAGCTGGGTTTGCGTGCTTAGACGAGTGTCTTCTAGCACTAGAAGCCCCAGAACACCGTCAAAAGTCAGCTGCTCCCGGTTCAAAATATTGGAACGAATGTTTTGAAATTCAAGCCTCAAGCACATGAGGAATTCCATCAATCGAGTCTGCTGCCCTCGATCATCATATCTTCAGACATGGCTTGAGGCTGCGTGCAACAAGTCCTGCTCCATCCACAATTCTTGTGCGACGTTGAAATACTCCATGACTATACGATCCGATTGCTCCAATCAAGCCAAGGTAGTCTGCACTTTGAATTGCCTGGCTGGATTCACAGTAGAGTAGGTGGCAGAGAGATGTCTCCACATCCGGCTGGCGGTGGGAAATAGCCGAAGACTAATGCAAGTTCAAGGAGTAAAAGATCCTAACAACCATGATCTTGTTAAACAAACTGAAAGATCGGGAACAGAAAGTAATCAACACCAAATTTACGTGGTTCAGAGAGAATGAGACTAGTCCGCGGCCAAAGCAATTGTTTCTCTTTGTCAATTGTCTAGCGCGCACACACACGTACACACCAATATATAGAGCTCTATATCACAACCCTAGCCAAACCCCAATAGGAAAGGATCTTTAACCCCCAAACCCATTGGTCTAATAGTCCACCATCTAATAATACACTACCCAAATACATATACAATGGGCTTAAGCCCAACATCAACATCGTCTTTACTCAACAACCTCCCCGAAATTGATGGAGATCTCTCAACATCAATTTGCCAGTGAGATAGCTATGCCGACTAGCAGTAAAGGCCTTCGTCAAAGATCTGCAATCTGATCCTCGAATGAAATGTAAAATATGCGAAGAGTACCATCCCGAACCAGATCCCGGATGTATTGGACAAGAACCTTGATATGTTTAGTACGATCATGGAGAACCGGATTTGTGGCAATCCGAGTGGCACTAGTATTATCCACGTAAAGCTCCATAGGAACCTCACACTAGATGCCAAAATCACTCATCAGTCGTTGCAACCATTCAAACTCGGACGTCACATCGAACATGGCACGATACTCTAATAAGGTGGAGGACTTCGAAAATCGGTTCTTCTTCTTGCATCGTCAAGAAATAAAGGAGCCACCTAGCCGAACACACCACCCACTCATGGAATGACGAGTGTCAATACAACCTACATAATCAGAATCAGAAAAGGCTTGTAGTGTCAGCGACCCTGTAGCATGTAACAATAATGCGATCATCCAGGTTCCCTGAAGGTATTGGAGGATCCGGTGAACAACATCAAGGTGACTGGTATGCGGAGCAGAAATGAACTGATTGACGACCTGGACGGCATAAGAAATGTCAGGACAAGTGGAAGTCAAGTACATCAAGAAGAGGAGAATCTAGGGTCATAAAGGAGGTTGAGCTGAAGGGGAAAAGGAGGGAGACATAGTGTGAGAAACTTCTTCTTCTTCTTCTTCTTCTTCTTCTTCTTTAGAGCGAAGTGACGAACCAAAGAAGAGGAGAAGCTAGGGTTTCATCTTTAAGCAAGGATTTGGGAATTCCTCCCCCAAAGGAGGATCTCTTCAAAACAAGGAGAAAGGCTAGCATCTCGTTGATGGTTTTCCTTCTTCTCTCTTGTGTTTTCCCTTCTCCTAGTATGGAATAGTCCCTTCTTTCACATGGGTGTTTGTAAACCCTAGCTACAATTATGTGAATGCTTGTATGGATTAAATGATTTGTGTGTGGTTGTGTTTAATGTGAGTGCGGAGGTATTATTCATGAATGATTGTGTTGTGTGAAAGCCTATCAATCTATTTGCCATTCTAACCTAGGTAGAGAGAAAATCCCTCTTTCTTTGAAAGAGGCTTACAAGTTGAGTTTTCTTAGACAATTCATTGTCTCCTATCTAGGTTAATGTAGGGAAACCCTCTTAATTCGTATTAGCACCTAGGGTTTGTTTGTGAGTGGCCTTCCGAACTTTGATTTGAGGTTGAGGTCTTGGCAACCCTTAGTCAATAGGTCGAGAGAGTCACGTTGGTGGCTTGAATCGAATTCCCTCGACCTAGAGACCGGGAGAGTGGCGTTTGGCTACTTGTTTCACTTCCCTACTGTTTACAAACACCTTACCACACATGACGATTCGATCCGACAAGTCATAATTGTTAGCTACAGGGAGCAACACCCGGGTGAAACTTTCTCAATTAGTGTCAAATCCATTTACTTTACCAAACGTTTTAGCTATAGATTGTTGTTTTCACAAAAAATCAACCTCTAGATCATGTTTCAAACAATCGAAGTAGGGGTACATGAACCGGCCCGAGTCGAAATTTAAACATAGTTGCCCTATATTGCACCCAATTAAGGTTTATACTTGGGTCTTATTTGAGAGTTTTATTGTGTTATTCGGGATGAGTCACTAGGCAGCCAACTCCTGATCGGACGACGGAGGTACAATAGGCTTTTTCGAAGAGTCATCTAGTAAGCCAAATAATCCATTCCCTTCAACAAAGATTCAAAACTAAAACTCCCATAACGAGTATTTCTTGAAGTTTACACAGGTTGTGATGTGATCATATTCCATAACAGGCTCTGATACCATGTTAAACAAACTGAAAGATCGAAACAAAAAGTAAACGACACAGAGTTTACGTGGTTTAATTTTCTCGTTCAGAGAGAACGAGACTAGACTACGGCGAAAGCAGTTGTTTCACTTATTCAACTGTCCATCACACCAATATATAGAGCTCTACATCATAACTCTAGCCGAACCCCAATAGGAAAGGATTTTCGGCCCCCAAACCCAGCTGTCTAATATCATCTAATAATCCACTACACAAATATATATACAATGGGCTTAAGCCCCACAACAACATCGTCATAACTCAACAGAGCTTATGCATGCATCGCTTTGGCTAAATGTAGCCTTCTTCTGAAGACTGGTAGTCGCTGCATTCAGTTTAGGTTTCCAGGAAATAGGTGAGACAACTCAAATGTCTCCATCAGTAGAAAACTCCTTCATAATAGAATTTTTATCTAATTTAAGAACTAATTCGACATTTTTTCTTTCTATTCCATCTTCTTGTTTATGCCCGATAACTCTCTACCAATTATCTTGTCACTTGAAGTGAATCTCAAATTTGGAGGGTGAATAGATGTTGAAATGGATTTTTATTTTACATATTAACAATACATAGAAGGTTCGGAAATATAAATGAATTATGTTAAGTTCACTTTTTATATTATTTACATTGTGATGTGGGTTGAGACAGCACACGACGTCTAATCCTGTCTCTGCATGGACACACATGGACTCTATCGCGCGTGGGCTTTAATAAAAGAAAATGGGCTCACACCTGTTACAGCTCAATACATCAGTAGTTTAAATTATAGGAACCTCTCACAAAAGCAGAGCCCTCCCTTTTCTCCTCAAACTGAAACCCGCCGCGCTCACCAGCTCTAGGACCGGCCTCCGTTAGCCTCACGTTTCGCCGTCCTTCTCGCTGCCGCTTCCTACGCATCCAGGTTGTCCTACAAGCTCTCTCTTCTTTATATTTCGTAATCTCAGAGAAGAGGGAGGGGGGATTTAAATGTATGTTGTACGAGCTAGTAGTAGATTGAATGGTCCATGAAACCGTACTGGAGACCGTATCAGGAAGGTTAGCGATGTGGTATTTTATGGTAAAACTGTGGTTTAATTGTAGTTCAACCGTTAGGGATGGCAATTTCGACCTGACCCGTTTTACCCGACCTGTTTGACCTGTTTTGGGGCGGGTCCGACCCGCCCCGTAGGCGGGGCGGGGCGGGCATGGGTAGTCTCATCGACCCGACCTGCCCTGACCCGCCCCATTCTTGTCTAAATCACATGTAATTTTAGTCAAATTACTGAGAAATTTTCTTTTATTGCATCATATTTTACCTATAATAAAGTTGCAAATTAGTAAAAATCTCAATTTCTCCAATAATTTAACTACAATTGTCATAATATTGTTTGTTTTCTTAGTCTTATAATAAAAATAACGAATATTTCTAATGTTTTTCATATAAATTGCATACTCATTGGGTCGACCTGCCCCGACCCGCGACCCGTGATCAATTACCCGACCTGGACCCGACCTGCCACGGGGCGGGTCTGGGTACCAAGAAACCCGCCCCGGACCTGCCCCATTGCCATTCCTATCAACCGTTGTACCATTAAATACCGCCTAAAACTTCTAATACTGGTATTTCGTGATTGAACCGCTGGTACGGCACGGTTTCATGGACCAAAGTAGATTGACTGTGGTAGAATAGAAGCATGGGTTGTGCTTTTGTTAATGGACAGCTGAATATGAATTAAGCAGATGCCTTCACTTAATTGGAGTGTTCATTCTGACTTTCTGTGACACGCTCTCGATCCCCTATCCTCCAGGTTGTTGTATAGAGAATCAGGGAATTCGTGGGTTTCATCCATGGATGACCTATATGAATTCATAGGGAATAACAGGATTGAAGATGTGAGTTGGATATGTTCCCTCTCCGAGCCCGAGCTTGTAAGTGCTTTCCTTCCTGTTTGAGCTGTAGACAGAGACTGAAACTGTATTTGTAAGCCTACACATAATTGATAGGACCAGCTAATAGGATCTTCTAATTGCCTTTGGTAGGATCTTCTAATTGGCTTGAAGAAGCTGGTGATTCTGCGGGCAAAGGCTATTGGTCATGTGGAATTGGCTGAGAAATTTGACTTGAAGATGCTCCGAGCGATTGGTATTTTCTATCCTCCCCTTCTTTCTGTCTACTACACGTATCTGTCTTGCTATCTAGAAGTTTTCCTTTTTGGTTCCATGGATATTGTTATGTGGTTGATATAACAAACCAAACCAAACCAAACCAAATTGAATGAGTGTTTCCTACTTTAATTCTCCTCTCAGCACTATATGTATGACTAGAGTGTGTCCAACTCCTTTTAACAAGTAGCTGGAGGAGATGAAACTTTGGCTTCCCTGGTTGCTGGGGGTGATGGTTGGGCAGGTTGCTATTCTTCTTGTAGCTGTGTTATTCTTATCTAGAGTGCATTTCAGGCCTGCCCTTTATATCCCTAGTTACTCACTCTCAGTTGCACTTGACGCAGGGTTCGTTGTAATGGAACATTTCAGACAAAAGGTCAAAGACTTGCCACCAGTACCGGGCATGGACGAGACTAGTGCATGCATAGATGGTTGCAGTTTACTAAAATCCAAGCTTGACAAGTTGAGCATTGAAGAGTTGAAGTCATGTCTCGGTATGAAGAAGGAAAAACACTATTTTAAAAGGTAGGTTGATTATGCAAGTTTTGCAACTTCAGTTAGGGTAGACATTGACAAGATGCTGCAGAATAAGTTATCAAGCATGCTTGGTTGCTTAGCTAGAAAACGGTTCACCTTTGCTGTCATCTAATGCCAGCTTGTTCATCATATTGCTAAATGAAGCGTGAGTCAGCACCTTGCTGGTCTTGTTTGAAGGTGCTGAAGAAAACCTTGTTTAGCTTGTTATTAGGGCCTTGGAAATGATAGACTGGACTAGATGTGTTCTTAATAGAGAAGCAGCCTCACTGAGGGAAGGTTACACATTAGTTTATGTTGACCCACCTTGATTTTTCATTTTCATAGACCACAGGAACAGGAAGGGCCAAAAGTATGAAGACAGAGCCGGAGATAGTCTGATTGCAGAGACAAGATTGATGATGCTAGATGTCATTTTTTCGGCCAACAACTTCCAGTTATGCTTAGGAGTTTTGTCGTCCATCATCTGCAATACCCCATTTATGGATGGTCCTTTGAGACAACATTCAGCTAGCTACATTGTTAACTCCTATGAGTGTTTTTTACGTTTGGAAAAGACTGTAGCTGCGACCAGCTAGCTATATATTGTTCTCCCTATGCTAGGACTGTGTTTGCATTTCCTACTTGCGAGCTTCGACTTGGCTCGCTCTGTGGTTGGCTGCTTGCCCCATGCTACCCAGTTCGCTGGATGACTTGTGCAGGCGTAAACTATGCAGCGCGTATTGAGCACTAGGAATTAATTGTTGACAACTTAATCGGGGCTTGTTGGCCAATGGCCATCACAGAGTTGTTCGAATTGCGTGGAAGTTGACCACTCTAGTGTAGTCAATATGCCGGATGGTGATTACTAAGCGCAAACTTGGTATGAAAAAATTTATTAATTACCTTTTTAACAAATTACATTTTTAAAAATTATAAAAATATATTAATTACAATTTTCTCTCTTTCTCTCACTTCCAAAATCTTTAGCTAGATCTCTCTTCTTTTTTTTTCCTCAATCTTTTTCCTTGTTTTTTGTTCAGGCGAACTAATACCGCTGCAACAATAAAACAATACTAATCCATTAAAAGAACACTACCAATGCATAAAACACTAATACCATTCGAGAAATAAAAACACTACCATTTCACAAAAGAGGAATTTTACAATGCTTTAAAGCATTGGTGCTTTAGTTTTTGCCTTTATGGTACAACTTGAAGTTAACCTTTAACGTTATGGTACAACTTTAGGTTGTACCTATACTCTTTTGTAAAATCCCTTTATGGTACAAACTAAAATTGTACATTTAAGTTATGGTACAACTTAAAGAGTTGAAGTTGTACCACAACATAAAGATCAAATTCCCTTATGGTACAACTCTAACTTGTACCTTTATCGTTGTGGTACAACTTAAAGTTGTATTTTAAAGCACCAATACTTTAAATCATAGTAGAAAGACTCTTCACAAAATACCAATACCATTGCAGATTTATCAATATCAATATACATGCAAATCAATACCATTACATGTTAATCAATCCCAATGCAAAAAAGAAAAAAAACAATACCAATTGAAAAACACTACCACTACAGAAAAAGAACACTATCATTTCACTAAAAAGCAATAAGCTTATATGATAATCAATACCAATGCGGAAAAAACACTACCATTACGAAAAAATCACTACCAATGCGGAAAAAATAATATCAATGCGAAAAAACACTACCACTACGAAAAGGGCAAAATTTGGCTGCTGGCTGGGTTGCAGCACTCTGCTGCTACCTAGCCACGTGACTCTATGTGATTGGTTCAATTGTTAATTAATTATTAGGAGGATGCTGAATTTGGACGGAACAATTTTGGATGCGTTTTCTTTGACGGGACCTGGACGGAGGAGCTAGCCGACGTCAAGGTATTCACTAGGGATGGCAAATTACTCATCCATGGGTAATTATACCATCTGCGCCTCTACGGCCACCCTTACACCATCTTCTCCATGGAATCTGCGGCGTCTTTCTCGCCATAGAAGGCTTATTGTGAGATTCCAGACCAGTCTTCCACATCTTACACTAGCTCTCTTCCTAGCAAACTTCTTCATTGCACAACTCACACATATTAATATATATAAATCTAAAGTGAGGTTACTGTTGTGTAATTATTTACATTTTGATACTCCAAATTTAATTAAATCACAACTTAATCACTATAATATACATTTTATATTTTGATACTTCAAATTTAATTTTAATGTAAAATCATTAAACAATTATGTTTTGGTATCTAAATTTTATGAGATTTTCGTACTTAAATTTTTTTAATTAATATATATAAACCTAAAGTGAGGTTACTGTTGCATAACTATTTATATTTTGATACCCCAAATTTAGTTTAATCATAACTTAGTCACTATAATATAACGAGGTTACTGTTGTGTAACTATTTACATTTTGATACCCCAAATTTAATTTTAATATAAAATCATTGAACAATTATGTTTCGGTATCTAAATTTTATGATATTTTTGTATCTATAATTTTTTAATTAATATATATATATAACCTAAAGTGAGATTACTATTGCTTAAATATTTACATTTGGATAAACCAAATTTAATTTAATCATAATTTAGTCACTATAATATACATTTTACATTTTGATACCCCAAATTTAATTTTGTTTGAGCCCGAGCGACTGGGAGTCACTCGGATCCAGGGGGTTTGGGGCGTCAGCCATGACTTTGAGGGGGTAGGCGCCCCACCTCAGTAGAAGTGAGAAAAGAGAAGAAGTATATAGAGAGAGAAAGTAGAGAGAAGTAATAGTAAGAGTAGATAGATTGCCATTTATGAGGAGAGAACTCCTATTTATACACATTTGAGGGTTAGGTAGTGGTCTGGGCGCCTGCCAAGCCATAAATGCTGTGGTCGGGCGCCTCAGACCTTCTGACACTGTACATGGTACTTTTTGACAGAGGGTGTCCCCCTGCCCCTTGTCCTTGCTGATGTCAGGTGCCTGGCCTTGTCTTTTGTCTCCTTGCCTTGTCCTTTTGCTCTTTTGTCTTCTTTCCTTCTTTATACCATTAGCTAGAGTTTTGCCTCCTTAGTTACTAGGATACTCTATCAATTGCCCCTTTGACGTCGGTATGAGTATCATGGCGGCGTCAACATAAAGTGAGTTTCACTAACCTTGCTTTCTCGTCTTCACAATCAAGTGACAGCTCTCTTTCTTTAGTTAATCGGCACCAGGCTCTTCCTTTCAAGTGGGTGCTTCATTCCCTTATTGATCTTCTGATCTGTTGAGCGCTTGTGCACCCGTGTGGGTGTGCTTGCTTGCAAATAAGGTGTAGTAAAATGAGGAAGAATAAACACATGTCTCAAGTAACGGAGACTATCAAAAGAAGCAATCATGCCCCTCTATCAAGCGCCTGACGCTTGCATTCTTCCGTTCTTCATCAATTATTTCCTAAGTGACTACTCTTTCATCTTAGAGGATGTGCCTACGCTCGTGTTAGAGTATTCAATCTATCTTGACAATCAAATGAAGTTGAAACAAACTTGTCAGTTTTCCTTTGATTGTGCCTTGCCCATTTGAAACGAGCGCCTAGCGCTCTTTTCCAAAAAAATTTTCTTTTTGCCAAAAGATACCACTGATATTCAAATGCTTTCCATTCATTGTCTAAGATGCTCCATTTTTCTTTCGAGACCTTGTGCTCTTTTAGAAGAGTGCTTGCTTCGATTCTTTGGCTAAACACTGGTCACCCAGCTTGTCGTTAGTTTCCCTAAGACCCAAACTCAACGAGGTGTTTGGCGACTCGCTCCTTTGCAGATGTGTCTAACCTTCAGTTGGGCGCCTGACATTTTACTCCTTAGCGAGGTGCCTGACCTTCAGTGGGGTGCCTGGCGCGTCAATCCTTCGCTTATGTCTTTGGTAAGCATTTGTCACACAGCTTGTCGTTTGTTGCCTTAAGACCCAAAGTCAACGAGGTGCCTGGTGACTTGCTCATTTGCCGAGGTGCCTGACCTGGCACCTCACTCCTTCAGCGAGGCGCCTGGCACAACACTCCTTCAGCGAGGTGCCTAACCTTTCAGGGGTGTACATGGCGACTCGCTACTTTGTCGCGGTGTTTAACATTTGATAGGGTGCCTGACACCTCACTCCTTCGGTGAGGTGCCTGGCGACTCGCTCATTTACATAGGTGTCTGACATTCAGTTGAGCGCCTGTCACCTCACTCCTTCAGCGAGGCGCCTGACACCACACTCCTTCAGCGAGGTGCCTAACCTTCAGTGGGTGCCTGGCACCTCACTGACATTCAGTTGAGCGCCTGTCACCTCACTCCTTCAGCGAGGCGCCTGACACCACACCCCTTCAGCGAGGTGCCTAACCTTGAGTGGGCGCCTGACACCTCACTCCTTCAGCCAGGCGCCTTCAGCCAGGCGCCTAACCTTGAGTGGGGCACATGGTGAATTTCTCATTTGCCGAGGTGCCTGACCTTCAGTTGGGCGCCTGGCACCTCACTCCTTCAGCGAGGCGCCTGGCACTTTCAGCGGTGTACATGGCGACTCCTTCAGCCAGGCGCCTTCCGCCAGGCGCCTAATCTTGAGTGGGGCGCCTGGAATCTCACTCCTTCAGCCAGGCGCCTAACCTTGAGTGGGCACATGGTGACTTGCTCATTTGCCGAGGTGCCTGACCTTCAGTTGGGCACCTGGCACCTCACTCCTTCAGCGAGGCGCCTAGCACCACACTCCTTCAGCGAGGTGCCTAACCTTTAGTGGGGCGCCTGGCCCCTCTCTCCTTCAGCAAGGCGCCTAACCTTGAGTGGGGCACATGGACCTTCGGTTGAGCGCCTAATACCTCACTCTTTTAGCGAGGTGTCTGACCTTTGGTAAGGCGCCTGACACCTCACTCCTTCAGCGAAGTGCTTGACCTTCAGTGGTAGGATGTCTGGCACCCCCACTTCTTTGCTTGTTTTTCTTTGTCAAACTTGTTTTAAAACGAGGATAGGCTAATGGGTGAACGCCCAATCACCCCTTGTGAGACTTTTTCAATGTCAAGCTCTTCTTCAAGCTCTTCCACGCATCGAGGTGAGTTTCGCCACTTTTTTCGGTCGGAGGCGCCACCTCCCTTCTTTTAGGCGCTTTGGTTTCTGAAACGGATGAAGACAGATCTGATTTGGCTGCTCCGTTCCAATTGGGGGCGCCTCTTTCCTTACTTTTCGCTAGGCGCCTTTGCTTCTTGTTAAACGGTAGATACCTTTCGCCTTCTTTCTCCTAGGCTCTCCCCCCTTGAAGGCTCTCATCGGCGCCTTTCGCTTTGACCATTTCTGTCGGGAGCCTCACTCCGTAGATTAGGTACGTTTTAACTCGGCTATTTGAAGGGGAACATTCGCTCTTTCTTTTGTTTGAAACAGAGGCGCCTCCGAACGTCGGGCTCAATCATACTGCTATGTAGTTTTCCGCTAAAGATGCCGCCTGCTCTCCCCTGCTGGCAGGCGCCTCCCCTTCTTCCTTCTCTCGGCGCTTTTGTTTCTAACTGTTTCTGCTTCTTTTGCAAAAGTTACCTCTCCATAATTGTTATTTGTTGGGAGTTTCCCCTTCCAGCTCGTTAGGTGCTTTTGAGACGCATCAACAAGTAAGCGCCGCCCTTCGTTATTGCTAGGCGTTTTTTCAATTGAAGGCGCCGCCTTCTAGTTTCCTCATCTTACTGCTTTTGCAGGTGTTACCGAGAGCTCCCCTCCGATCCTTTAGGCTCTCTTGCCTACCAACATAGGTAGGCTTTGCCCCTCGTATTTTCGAACGCCATTCCTTGGATTTTGCTAAGCTCCTTACCTTGTTTATCGCTCTATGATACTTGCACCTGTTTATAATGCAGGTTCAGCCTCAAGGCGTCTTAAGGCACCCGTTTTTCTTACGCGTAGCCTCTTTGAAAAGAGGTGATGCGTTTTGGTTTCTCCTCAACGGAGGAAGCGGGTCTGGGTGACCCCTTCTGACAAGGCAGGGAATTTCGCGAGGGATATGGCCAAGGCACCACCTCTCATGGGGACTCGTAAAACGAGCTCCCTACGCTCGGATGAAGATCCGGGCGTAAGCACTAAGGTTCTTCCACTGGTTGCGGGTAAATGGTTTTGCTAAGATGACTATCTTAAGCAAAACTTGATTTTTCTTACGTGTACCCCTGAGAAGGAGGTGACACGCTTAGGCTTCTCCTCGACGGAGGAAGCGGGTCAGGGTAACCCCTTCTGGCAAGGCAGGAATTTTGCGAGGGATATGGCCAAGGCGCCACCTCTCATGGGGACTCGTAAAACGAGCGCCCGATGCTCGGATGAAGATCTGAGCGTAAGCACTAAGGCTCTTCCGCTGGTTGCGGGTAAAAGGTTTTGTTAAGATGACTATCTTAAGCAAAACTTGATTTTTCTTACGTGTACCCCTGAGAAGGTGGTAACACGCTTAGGCTTCTCCTCGACGGAGGAAGCGGGTCTGGGTGACCCCTTCTGACAAGGCAGGAATTTTGCGAGGGATATGGCCAAGGCGCCACCTCTCATGGGGACTCGTAAAACGGGCGCTCGACGCTCGGATGAAGATCTGAGCGTAAGCACTAAGGCTCTTCCGCTGGTTGCGGGTAAAAGGTTTTGTTAAGATGACTATCTTAAGCAAAACTTGATTTTTCTTACGTGTACCCCTGAGAAGGTGGTAACACGCTTAGGCTTCTCCTCGACGGAGGAAGCGGGTCTGGGTGACCCCTTCTGACAAGGCAGGGATTTTGCGAGGGATATGGCCAAGACGCCACCTCTCATGGGGACTCGTAAAACGAGCGCCCGACGCTCGGATGAAGATCTGAGCGTAAGCACTAAGGCTCTTCCGCTGGTTGCGGGTAAGGTTTTGTTAAGATGACTATCTTAAGCAAAACTTGATTTTTCTTACGTGTACCCCTGAGAAGGTGGTAACACGCTTAGGCTTCTCCTCGACGGAGGAAGCGAGTCTGGGGTGACTCCATCTGTTAAAACAGGGATAACTTCGCATTGTCGAGTAGTGAATATCCGTTCCTTGAGCAAAATAGGGAATTACATGGGGTATCTCCAGGGCGCGTCCCTTTCCCCGAAAATTCCTAACATTACCAACCTAAACTGAATAAAAGGACTCCTCCTAGCACGCTTTTGCCTCTCTTAGGGTGTCTTTGAGTTACGCTTACTTAAAGGGCGGCCCTCCCCCTACAAAAATTCCAGGGCGCTTCTTTCTTCCGAGTCGCCGTAGTTGAGTCGGGCGTACTTCTCCAGGTAGACATCGTCGTCAGCTTCGATTGCGTCCTCGTTGGGTGAGGCGCCCACACCCTCCCGTGGGGAGTTCATGGGTAGCACCTCCACCTCTTGCATCTTTCCTCGGAGGCGCCTCCTCTCCTCTGTGGCTTCTTGGGGATTGGGAGGCCCGTGATTGTTTGCCTTTGTTAGTGCTGACAACGCGGTCATGACTTGATCCAGTTGGCCTTGCGTGCTGGCCATTTGAAGTGCTTGCTTTTCCCGAAGCTTCGCTAGTTGGCCCTCCAGGCGCTTCGTGTCTTCTCCCTCTCCTGATGGATCGTCGTCGTCGGATGCTTCCAAACTTTGGATGGTGAGTGGTTGAGGGTTGATCGCTTCTCGACCAACGACTTGCTTGATAGGGGTCTTCGTTGGTGCCGGACTCCTTTCTTCCCCCTTCTTTGAGTTGGAAGCGTCTTTCAAAGTCATGCTTGGCCCCAAGGTGGGCGCCAATTGTTTGAGCCCGAGCGACTGGAGTCACTCGGATCCAGGGGGTTTGGGGCGTCAGCCATGACTTTGAGGGGGTAGGCGCCCCACCTCAGTAGAAGTGAGAAAAGAGAAGAAGTATATAGAGAGAGAAAGTAGAGAGAAGTAATAGTAAGAGTAGATAGATTGCCATTTATGAGGAGAGAACTCCTATTTATACACATTTGAGGGTTAGGTAGTGGTCTGGGCGCCTGCCAAGCCATAAATGCTGTGGTCGGGCGCCTCAGACCTTCTGACACTGTACATGGTACTTTTTGACAGAGGGTGTCCCCCTGCCCCTTGTCCTTGCTGATGTCAGGTGCCTGGCCTTGTCTTTTGTCTCCTTGCCTTGTCCTTTTGCTCTTTTGTCTTCTTTCCTTCTTTATACCATTAGCTAGAGTTTTGCCTCCTTAGTTACTAGGATACTCTATCAAATTTTAATGTAAAATCATTGAACAATTATGTTTTGGTATCTAAATTTTATGAGATTTTCTTACTTACAATTTTTTAAATTTACATATTGTCCACTTTTATATTTCACTTGAAACCATGTATCAAATTCACCAATCCTTTTTAACCAATCCATGAATCCAATCCACCGTAACGTAAAAGTACAAATTTAGTTTGTACGATACAAGATGTTGTATCACTCAACTGTAGGAGAAGATTCAACCATTTTATATTTGCTCATTACTTGAAACATTGAATTAATGATAAAAGAGAGACGACTCTAAAATATTGCAAGAGCGAATTTATAAACTCATTTAGTACATTTATAGGACACTAGACAAACTTATACTAATTACATGTAACAAAATATGCGACATCTACATAAGCAAGTATCAATAAAATGCTACGGTGAAAAGAGTTGACTGTTGCATTGACGACCAATTAAAAGAATTGGTCAAAACCTTTCAATCATCTACTTCCTCTTCTTTGTCAAAAATAAAAAAAAATCTACTTCCTCTTCGTTTCATTTTTCACTCGCCTTCCATAACCTTTTCTTTATTTATTTCTTTGCCTTTTTCATCTAACCCTAATCAGTATACTATTCAAATCACAAGTATGAATGGGTCCATACACGTCTCACCAACAGTCTAGAGAACTAATAATTAAACTATGAACCACTAACTTTTCAGCTCAATGTTGAGTCCAATTGAACATAAATATATATGGGTATAACTGATTTGAAAGTCGTCATTTTTCACTATGGGATTTGAAGGCGTGAAATTTTCAGCGAGTTCCCATTTGTATTCCTTTTCCTTCTCTCCGGAGTTTTCCTTTTCACCCGGGCGAGAATTTTCAACAATTATACATAGAATGTTTGGCTAAGTATCTATACATATCAAATAAATTATTTTCATTTTCTATAAAAAAAGTAATTAATTATCATCTTAAATACATCACTATTAAAGGATTAAGCCTCTCAACTATGCAAATTACAGTTATGTAGCTAAACTTAATAGATCTTTAGATTTATAACCTTAATATATTTTTTGGCATATAAGTCCTCAAAATATTGATGGAACGTCATATTTTAGTACCTAAAATTTTTGTGTATTAAATTTTGGTACCTAAACTTTTGAAGTTCTACAAATACATCTAATTTTTGTATGTATAATTAAATAATCCTCGAATGAATGGGTATCCATACCCAACTCATACACATTTAGATTATGAAAGTAAATATCCATCTCCTACCCAAACCCATCTACAAACTTCCAAACCCATATATACATCACCCATACCCTACCCATAATCAATGGGTCTACTTGGGTTTAGGTAAATATCATTTACTAGCAAAAATTTTCAAAAAAAATTAAATTGGATGTTGACAACCATATATCTATTCTAAGTCAATATTACTAATAAAACTGCTATAAAAAATTATTTTTAGACTAATAATACTAATAAAATATTATAACGGGCCACATAATACATGCCCATAAGCCATCTCCGCCCGCGACAAGATGCGGCATCGCCACCTAATAACTATTAAAAGTCATTGAGTCTAGGAATGCTCACTTTCAGCGGCGGATCCAGAACACAGAAGAACACTGGGCCGAATTTTATTAAAAAATTAGAACCGTAAAAAAACATTATAGTTTTTTTTTTACAATATAAATTGTACACGACGGTATTTTAATTTAGCGAATGCATCAATAATGGAGACCACATCCATACCAATAGTATACATTGTTTTAAATAAAATACTTTAGCAATCGGCTAGAAATTCACCGTTCATTTTGTTGCGAAATCAGTTTTCATATGTTTCATTGTTGAAAAGATTCTCCTTGTAGTAGTTGTTGATACGAGCAGCGTCAACACTAGACAAATCAATCGTGCATTGTGTGTCCATACATACATCCACTAACTGCTTTAGTAAATTTTCAAGGGAATAAACCTCATATTTCTTATAGTCTTTTACGTTTTAGACTTTTAGAATTTTAGATTTCATTGTTTTTTTAGAAAAATAGTATTTGGAGTTAGAATTTCTAGACTAAATTTATAGTAGTGATTTGAATACGTTAATCTGAATTTTTTTTCTAGTTACACCCAATCTTATTATAAAATAACACTAAGCCGAATAACTAAAATCGAAAAATTTATAAACAGTATACTAACTCCGAATCTATAGGAGGGCTGGGCCGGGGCCCAGGGTGGCCACCCCTGGATCCGCCACTGCTCACTTTTATACTAGCAAAACACCCCTGCGCTACCTCCTGCAGATAGCTACATTGGAAAAACAGATGATCTCGATTTTCTTGACCTCCATCACAAAACAAGCAGTCATCATTGTCGATCCTTCCCCACTACTTCAGTTTTTCTTTAGTGGTAAATTTGTTTTGTGTAACTAACCAGCTAACGAAACTATGTTGAGGTATCATGTGCTTTGACCAAACGAGACTTGTGTTCTATCAATCTCAGCAAAAACCTCTCAAAATTTTCATGGCGAGAAGAAGGATCATGGTCTCCAACAATGTTCTAATTGTTTATTTTCTTGGGAAAATGTCAAAAGTCCACTAGTCCTATAGTAAAGTCATAATTCCGGTAGAAGAAACAAGTCGACACTAAAATCGGATCAATGTTGGTAATTACCAGTTAATAATTTATATAGTTGGACAACTTTGATCAAGGAAGTAGACAAGGCATCCCTGTTCGTTTGATGATCCTCTTAATACTAAAAACATATATATGTTTTCCTTTTGTTTTTTTTTTTCTACATAAGCAAATAAATGAGTTTCTGGTTTTTATTAATTTTTTATAGGGTTAGTATAAAACGGTTAATATCATTTTATACCCTCTATTATTGCAAGTTAACAAACGTGCGCCTCTACTAATTTTTTGCACAAAAATACACCTATAATATTAAAATGTAACAAATATACCCTTTCATTTAATTATCCGTTAAACAACCGTTAAATATGTTACGAAATGACCCATTTGCCCTGATTTAGTATTAATTTAATTTTATTATTTCTTAATCACAACCCAATTAAAAATTATATCAACCCCACCCTACTTCTGAAACCCCCAACACCCAATCCCATTTCATTTGCCCTCGGAAACACCATCCCATTACACAATCCTCCACCATCAAATCCACCGCCACCGTCGAGACTCGAGAGCCCCTCCACCCACAGCAAGTCTCCAACGCGCACTGCTTGTGGCCAATGCAGTCAAAAGCGCGATTCTATCTATAAGCGGAAAATGGATAAAATCGTAAAGCGTAGAATCAAAGCGTAAAAGCGTAGGTTTTTTACGCATACTGAAAAATCACTAAAAATCTATTAAGTAGGACACATGCTATGCAAAATATTAACACACAGAATTTAGATAAGTTAATAAATACATGCGATTTATGTTTAAAGTAGAGCAACTTATAGCATCTTAATAATAAGTTCATAAACATAAATTTTAACGATAAGCCACTTTTTCCTCTATGCTAATGAATTTGGGAAAACCCTAGCTGGTGAATTAGATTACTCTATTGAAGTTGAGAATGCATCCAAGTACCTAGTATGTATCTTTTTTTTTTTTGGTAGAACTAGTATGTATCTTTTAATCTCAAATGTATCATATTGTTATTGATTTACTTTAAAAATGTACTTTTTATAATTAATTTCATGAAAAGAATACTTATTTAGTGAACTAAAAGCGTAAAAACGTAAAGCGTTTTGGTGAACTAGAACCGTAAAACCGTAAGTTTTTAAGCTTTAAAGCGCAATTTAGTCCAATTTTATACACTTAAGTTTTTATATGGAAACGAAAACGTTTTGGTGAACTAGAACCGTAAAACCGTAAAACCGTAAGTTTTTAAGTTTTAAAGCGCAATTTAGTCCAATTTTATACACTTAAGTTTTTATATGGAAACGAAAGCGTTTTGGTGACCCAAAAACGTAAAATCGTAAGTTTTTAAGTTTTAAAGCGCGATTTTGACTGCATTTTGTGGCAGCTGCACCCGGCTTTTCCTCACCGGAGGCTCTAGTGGACAGAAATGGGTGAGACGACTGCGATGATTTCTCTTCGCACAGGCGGAGGGAGAAGAGGTTGCTAAGTGAAATCGACAATTCCATTAGCAACTGAAATCGAGTGGGAAGCTCAGCACACAGGTGGAGGGAGAAGAGGCTGCAGAGTCGGCTCAGTTCGCGGCCTCTGTTCACAGGGAGATATCTCCCGCTGTCTCACCTGATGATGTTCGATGGAGTACACTGGGTGTTTGTTGTCTATCCCCTCTAGCCGCTGCCGTCTCACTCAATACTTTTCGCCGATTTCCTCTAAGACGGGTGCGGCCGCCGCAAGCAAGGAGCACCGGAGTCTATCGGTGGGGGAGGGGCTTTTGACGGTGGCGGATGATTGAGTACGAATGGATGGAATTCGAAGGGCTTCCGCAATCAAGGGTGCGATTAAAATTATTTTTAACTGCGACGTGGGGTGAGTTGACAATCGAGGAATTGAAAAGAGACTGCAGAATCGACG